ATTTTATTGGAAAGGAAAGACATTAAGAAGGCTTCACTGAATATTTGACATTCAAGCTACAAGGAAGAGTGTAAGGGCCTATTAGGCATAGAGAACAAAATGAGTAAAGGCGTGGAGGTCCAATAGCATATATGGTATTTGGAGGCTGGTGACTGTTTAACTGTGGATATCTGCCAGAAATGTTGAAGGTAGTAGAGGGAATGGTTGCAGGAGGATCTAAAAAGGCAGGCTGAAACTAAATTGCTGTACGTTCTATGTTAAGAAGATGATGCATTATCTTATTGGTGCCATTGAAGGTTTAACAATTTTCTTATTGTGGTAAAATATATAACTTAAAATTTACCATTTTAACCATTTTTAAGTGTACAGTTCAATGACATTAAGTGTGGTCACATTGTACAAGCATCTGCGCTATCCATTTCCAGAACTTTTTCATCACCCCGTATTGAAACTCTGTACTCATTAAACAATAGCACCTCATTCCCCTCTCCCCCTTGCCCCTGGTAATCACCATTCTACTTTCTGTCTCTATGTATTTGACTATTGTAGGTACCTCAGGTAAGTGGAATCATGTAATATTTCTCCTTTTTTGCTTATTTCGCTTAGCATAATGTCTTCAAGTTTCAACCAGGTTGTAGTGTGTATCAGAATTTCCTTTTTAATGTTGAATAATATTCCATTCTATGTATATACCATATTTTGTGTATCTATTCATCTATAGATGGATATTTGGGTTGTTTCTACATTTGCCTATTATGAACAATGTTGATATGAACATTGATGTAGAAATACTTGTTTGAATCCGTGCTTTCATTTCTTTTGTATATATACCCAGAGAGGGAATTTCTGGATCAAATGGTAAATCTATGTTTAATTTTTTGAAGAACTGCCACCCTGTTTTCCATAGCAGCTGCACTGTTTTACATTCCCACCACCAATGCACAACAGTTTAGTTTCTCCACATTCATAAAACTCTTTTTGTAGTTGTTGTTTTGATAATAGCCATCCTAATGAATGTAAAGTGGTATCTCATTGTGATTTTGATCTGCATTTCCCTGGTGATTAGTGATGTTGAGCACCTTTTCATGTGCTTCTTGTCCATCTGTATGTTTTCTTTGGAGAAATGTCTATTCAGGTCCTTTGAGTTAGGTTGTTTTCTTGTTGAGTTTTAGGAGTTCTTTCTATGTTCTGAATATGAATCCCTTATCGTATATGTGATTTGCAAGTATTTTCTCCCATTCTATGGGAAGCCTTTTTATTGTTAATAGTGTTGTTTGTTACACAAAAGTTTTTAATTTTCATGAAGTCCAGTTTGTCTGTTTTCTTTTGTTGCCTGTGTTTTATTTCATATCCCAGAAATCATTGCCAAATCCAATGTCATGAAGCTTTTCTCTTCTGTTTTTCTTTTAAGAGTTCTATAATTTTGCTCTTACATTAGGTCTTTGATCCATTTTGAGTTAATTTTTGTATATGGTATAAGGTAAAGGTTGTAAGTGGATATCCACTTTCCCTATCACCATTTGTTGAAGAGACAGTCCTTTCTCCATTGAATGGTCTTGACACCCTTATTAAAAATCATTCAACCATGTATGTTAGCTTCTATTTCTGGGCTCTCTGTTTTATTCTCTTGGCCTATATGTGTGTCTTTATGCCAGTACCATGCTGTTTTGTTTACTCTGGCTTTGTAGTAAGTTTTGAAATCAGAAAATCTAAGTTCTTTAACTTTGTTCTTCTTTTTCAAGATCGTTTTGGCTATTCTGGGTCCGTTGAGATTCCATGTGAATTTTAGGATCAATTTTTTCTTTCTGCAAAAAATGTCATTGGGATTTTGATGGAGATTGCATTGAATCTGTAGATCATTTTGGGTAGTATTGACATCTTAACGATATTGAGTCTGCCAACCCATGAACATGTATGTCTTTCTCTTTATTCATGTCTTCTTTAATTTCTTTAAGTAATATTTTGTTGTTGTCAGTGTACAAGTCTTTTATCTCCTTGGTTAAGTTAATTCCTAAGCATTTTATTTTCTTTGTTGCTATTTTAAACGCAGTTGTTTTCTTAATTTCCTTTTCAGATTGTTCATTGTTAGTGTATAGAAATGCAACTGATTTTTGTGTATTGATTTGTATCCTACTTTGCTAAATTTGTATGTTAGTTATAACAGTTTTTTCGTGGAATCTTTAGGGTTTTCTACATATTAGATTATGTTATCTATGACCAGAGGTAGTTTTACTTCTTCCTCTCCAGTTTAGATGCCTTTTATTTCTTGCGTAATTCCTCTTCCAATAATATGTTGAGTAGGTGGTGAAAATGGACATTCTGACTTGTTCCTGATCTTAGAGGAAAAGCTTTCAGTCTTTCACCATTGAGAATGATGTTAGCTGTGGGTTTCTCATATGCAGTCTTTATTGTGTTGAGGTAGTTTCCTTTTATTCCTAGTTTGTTGAGTGTTTTCTTTTTTTTTAACCACAAAAGGTGTTAAATTTTGTCAAATGCTTTTTGTGCATCAATTGAGATGCTCGTGTTATTTTTCCTTTCATTCTGTTAAGGTGGTGTATTATATTGATAGGTTATTGTATGTTGAACCATTTTTGCATTCTAGGAGTAAATTGCAGTTGGTTGTGGTGTATAATCCCTTTAGTATTCTGCTGAATTCGATTTGCTAGTATTTTGTTGAGGATTTATTAAAGGTTTTTAAGTAGGAGAATAACTGGTGGAAATATGGGGAATGGGATGAAGGGCCAGACTCGAAATGAGAGACTAATTAGGAGGCTCTTGTCTCTTATGCAAGTTTTCCCAGTCTAAACTAATTCTTTCCAGGATTTACCTCATCTCAGTAGAAGGTGCCACCATTTACCCAGTGCTTAAGACAAGGACCTTTGAGTCATCTTTGATTCATCTCTTTCTTTAACACCCCACATTCAGATCATTAGTAAATTTTGTAGAATTTACCTTCAAGATATTATATATTCCAAATTTAGCCATTTGTAACACACCTGTACTCTTTCTGCTTTGGTCTAAGCTACCACCATCTCACCTGAACTATTTCCAACTTACCCCTCTTTGTGCCCCTCCACAACACCCCCCCCAGTCTGTTCTTCATTTAGGTGCCAAGATTATTCTTTTAAAATATGTCATATCATGTTACTTCCTGCTCATAGCCCTTCAGTGACTTCCTAACTTAGAATAAAATTCTAAGCTCTTATCAAGTTTCGTAAGGTCAGTACAATATTTGGCTTGTAGTTAGCTTTTCAACCTCATCATCTTCCCCAGTCACTCCTTTGTTACTCAGCTCCAGCCACATTAATCTTTTCAAATAACATTAGATAATTTCTTGCTTCTGAGTCTTTGTATTTACTGTTCTCTGTTTCTAGAATGCTGTTCCCCCAGAAATTTAAATGTCTCTTTCCTTCACTTCTGTCAGGTATTTGCTTAAATATTACCTGTTTAGAGTGGCCGCCTTTGTCTACTCTATTCTAAAATAACAACTTCCCATCAGTCTGTAGCCCCTTACCCTGTTTTATTTTTCTTCATAGCACTACCTGACATGTTAGTATATATTTATTTATTTTTCTGTTGTCTATTTCCTCTAACTAGAATGTAAGTTACATAAGGGCAGGGGCTTCATTGATTATATGTATGATAGAGAATATATGAGGGTATCAGGAGGATATGAGGATGATCAGTGATATGAGGATATCAATGAGAGTGTTTCGTGAAACAGGATCCTAAAGGAAGTAGGATAGGCTTATTAATAGCATAAATAGAGGTGTGTGTTCATTTATTGTCTTTGATCTTCTTATTTCTGTGACAATAAAGCAATATAATTTAAAGTATTTTGTGGTACTTCTATGTATTTAAAGATAATTTTGTTGAATGTTAATCTTGTATCATTTTTTCATTAAGTATGTTGCTGTTAATACCTTGGATGAATGTTAAAAAAAATAAACACTCATTTAGACACTCATCCAAGACTTAGATTATAATTAAGATTGCAGAAATGGTCACAGAAACTTATCAAAATGAGGTTGTTTTAGCTCCTGTGTTTGATCATTCTATACCTTAGGTAAACTTTACTTATGTTAAGACTGAATATGGTAACATGAATAAAAATTAGGAATCGATCAAAGTCTTTGTTTAACTATATTGGAGGGACGGGGAGAACAAACTACTTTTAATTATTATATGTGTTAGGAGCTCCATGTCTCAAAAAATAGGAGATTGTTTCTTGACTGAAATGTCGTAATAGAAAATGCCTTTGTAATATTATTAAATAAAATAAATTAAATAAAAGAAATTACCACGTAAGATTGTATGTGATTTTCTTCTTTGCATTTTCCTGTATTTTGTGTAGCTTTTGCAATTAGCATGTATTTTTTTAATCAGAATAATAAATTAATTTTAAAAAGTCACTGTGCATCTATAATAGTCCCTCTTTAGCTTCTTGGTGTAAATTGGCTTTCAGACTTTTAGCAAAATAGAGGTTTTTTTGAACATTTTGCTTGAGTTAGATAAAATAACAGAAATCAATTGTAAGTGGTAGGCAGTATTTCACATGTGATGATAGTGTCTAGGATGTTTTCCTGTGACCATTTAATCTCATACTCTGTATGCAGGTCAGAGAGATTCAAGACCTTCTGCTACATCTGAGACAACATCTGTTTGTTGCAACAAAATTATCACCTGAGAGTTGTACCTGTGGTATCTTGGCTTTGATGTAGGATTTCAGAATTTATGCAGATAGTAAAGTAGAACAAGTTTTATTTTTTTAATGTTTAATAGCAACGTTCCCCACAGCGCCTCTCATTCTTCCAGTCCAGTTTCACAAAGGCAGAGATCTCTCTCTCTTGTTCATCTCTATATTCTAGATGTCTTGAATCTGGCACATAGAAAGCGAATATTTGTTGAGTTAATACGTTTCTGTCCTTCCCTCTTGCCTAAAAGGACATTAAAATAGAAATTTTTTTTTATGTTGTTGTTGTTAAACATTACACTAATAGGAAAAACAGGAAGAAAGTGAACTTCGTTCTCTGCCACCTCCTTCCCCTGCCCACTTGGCTGCTTTAAGTATGGCAGTTATTGAATTAGTAAAAGAACAAGGAATAACAGATGATGACCTCAGAATCCGCCAGGAGATTGTGGAGGAAATGTCAAAGGTTGTAACAACATGTTTACCAGGTACAAATACATTTTATATTTATTTTTTAAATTACACAATTCTTCTCCTTGCTCCTATTGAACTTAGGGTAAATTTCTTAATGTTTTCCGTTCTCTTTTTTCCTCCATCTTAAAAGTAGGTGAATTTAATTGTTTTATAAATGACTTTTTTGGGAAATATTTCAGAGAAGGAAATGGAGAATTATGGCACAGTATAATGTTTGTAATAAAAAAGAAATACAGGGTAATTTCTTAGTGGTCGAATATTATATTTTACATTAATTTTATAATTAATTTTTTAATATTGTTGACTTCTGAATGGGCATTTTAGTTATACTGTTTCAGTACATACATTTCAACCAGTCACTGAATAAAATTCCTATTGCCTGATGGTGGGGAAAAATTAATTTACTTTAAGTAGGGATATTGGAGGTAAAATCTGCACTTTTCTTTTTGACTCTGGTCTTTCTTTACAGAAAGCTTATGTTTTTGGTGCAAAGGGGAGTTGGGCCAGATTTATTGGAGACATTTATGTATAGCTTATTTGCTTAGCCTTCATAATTTTTTTGCATGAGTAGAGAATTTAAGTAAATGTATATTAAATAAGACTTATTTCTTACCGCCTAAGGGGTTTTGGACAGTTGATAAATTATAGTTTCACATAGAGCCATTGTGAGATTTCTAAGAAAGAATATAAAATTGAAATTTAAAAATGGAAAACATTTTCATTTCTCTTTATTATTTCTGTAATAATGTGGTTTTCTATCTAAAATACATTGAATACTGATTTAAATTATATATGGAAATAATTCACCATTATAAAAATTTTCTACGAATAGAAATGAAATTTTTATGATTTTAATGATTTGGATGACTTTGACATTCTGTGAACTGGAAAAGTAGACTTTTACGTATACAACTGAGTATGAACTTACACTTTGTAAGAAATTAAACCTGCCTGATCAGTCCCAATCATTATTATTATTTTTTTTTGTGAGGAAGGTTTGCCCTGAGCTAACGTCCATTGCCACACTTCCTTTTTTTTTTTTTTTTTTTTGCTTGAGAAAGATTAACTCTGAGCTAACATCTGTGACAGTCTTCCTCTGCTTTGTATGTGGGATGCCTCCACAGTATGACTGATGAGTGGAGCAGGTCTGTGCCCAGGATCCAGGCCCATAAACCTGGGCCACTGAAGCAGAGTGCGTGGAACTTTAATCACTCGGCCACGGTGCCAGCCCCCTCCTCATGTTATTTTTTAGCTTGCTCTCTGGTGAGATCCTTTTAAAATTGGCCTTATTATGATTTTTGATAAAACATATTTGATAATCTGAGAAAGATGTAGGTATTATGTTACTTGTTCCTATTTATTTTGTTCTATGAACTCTTGAAAGCCAGAGTTTCTTTGGTTTTAGGTTTGCAGTATGAATTGAATTGACTTGACTTTATTTTATCTTATTTTTTTTTGTGAGGAAGATTGGTCCTGAGCTAGCATCTGTTGCCAGTCCTCCTCTTTTTGCTTGAGAAAGATTGTCACTGAGCTAACATCTGTACCAATCTTCCTCTGTTTTATGTGGGATGCCTCCACAGTGTGGCTTGACAGGCAGTGCTAGTCTGCACCTGGGACCTGAACCTGTGAACTCAGGGCCGCTGAAGCGGAGTGTACAAACTTAACCACTACACCACTGGGCTGGCCCCTTGACTTTGTATTTTTAAAGAGCATTAGCATTGAATGTCTGTGATCCCTTCCCCATTTAAAGTGCTATCTCTTACATAAATATAAGTATCTAAAAATAAATGTAGTTTGTGACGGTAGCTATAGCTAGGTTAGTACGTTTTTTTACTGTTGCATATTAAATGCTAACCATACTTCTAGTCATTCCTAAATGAAGTATTACTAGAATTTTGTTTAAACACTGAACTTTTATGAGTAATTTCTCTCTTCCTTCTCTGTTCCTGAACCTCGTAACTGAGAAACATTTTTATTATTTTGTAGACCAGCTAGGAAGGATGTCATTCTTCTATAATTGTTGTACTGGAATTGGAAGACATATAATTGAAATATATATAGTTTTCCTACTAGTTTTTTAAAGTTCCCATATTTGCACACTATTTCATGCTTTGATATTTTTCCTTTATTTCCAGAGTGTTCACTTAGGTTATATGGCACGTCTCTAACTAAGTTTGCTCTGAAAAGTAGTGACGTTAATATAGATATAAAATTTCCTCCCAAGGTAAGTAATTAGAAAAGAACCTTTCTTTTGTGGTTTTTCACTAGTACTTGGTGTTTTTTATCGATTATCTTCTTAGAGAAGATATAGGGCCCTATAAAACTTTGGCTTGTAGAATGTTACCGTCATGATTAAACAGTGCTTTTGCAAACACTATTAGGTGTCGCCATAGGTAAAATAAAAGAAATGAGACAGGAAAAAAAGGAAACACAGTAAGGCAGTCAAGAAAAAAAGGAATATTGCTTATGTTTGAGTGTGTTGAACAGTTATCGCTTATGGTAAGCATTATTGGAAGTGGAAAGAACTTTGAAGTAGTACGTCTGTGTTCAAATCTTGGCTGATTACTCGAACTTTCTGAGCCTCAGTTTCCTAATTTCTGAAACAGGGGTAATAACTTTTATATTAAATAAGGTTATTTTAAATATGATATATACCAGGTATTTTTGTATAGTGCCTGGTACATTATGGGTACTTTTAATAAATAATAGCTAGTACAATTAGTAAAAGTACTGATATTGTTTAGCACTGCTAACATTGCTTATATATTGACATATCAAACATTTAAAATAATCATTTGACATTTTGTGTGTTTTTAATTTTAGTTTATGCTTGAGGTTATTTTTGAGTGAAAGTCTAATACATTTACTTACAGTTAACCTATGATTATTAAATACTTTTAAATAACAGCAGAGTACACATTAAACTACACATTTGACAAGCTTATTATTTAAAGTAGTATTTTTTTTCTTTTTCTTTTTCTGAGGAAGATTAGTCCTGAGCTAACATCTGCTGCCAGTCTTCCTCTTTTTGCTGAGGAAGACTGGCCCTGAGCTAACATCCATGCCCATCTTCCTCCACTTTATATGTGGGATGCCTACCACAGAATGGCTTGCCAAGAGGTGCCTTGTCCGCATTGGGATCCGAACTGGCAAACCCCGGGCCGCCAAAGTGGAATGTACGAACTTAACCGCTTTGCCCCAGGGCTGGCCCCTAAAGTAGTATTTTAATCTAAGCCTTTGACCATGATTCCAGTTGTCAGTATCCCTTAAATTTCTTAGCTCAGCAACTTCTCTTTAACAATCATTTGGTAAACTAATTTCTTTTCAGTTTTGCTATGAAATTTCACAATCTTTTCTCACTCTAAGAACTCGTAATTCTAGGAGTGTTGCTGGAATAACAGCAGTACCTGATTTATTAGATTGTACTTTCATGAACCAGATTTGTTTAACATGAAAGTAAAACACTATTCTGTTTTCATTACTTTAACATACCGAGCATGATTTTATTTAAATGTTTAATGAATTGAATTCTCTCTAAAAGTTCTTCAAGTTGAACTATGAAATTAGTATATTGATTTAATTTGAAACTCTTTTAGATGAATCATCCAGATCTTCTGATACAAGTGCTTGGGATTTTAAAGAAAAGTGGTGAGTTTCTTTTTTAATTTGTCTTTCTAAAGAAAATTCTTCAAAGGCACATGCATTGTATTGTTTATGGCTAACCAAGTTAAACAAAAACTTCTAGCGTATTTGAGTCATTGTATTGCATATGTATATATACATATATATACATGTATGTATTTGTTCAATAGTGTACCAGAAAGTGCACATATTGGTTAGATCAAAAGTATCATTTAAAATCCATATATAAAAAAAGATTGCCTTGTGGATAATTAAAAAATGTTAGCTTTGAATATTGACATTTCTTGTGTAAAAGACAGAAAAACCTATCATCATTAGGAGGTCATTGATGAAGGAAGACTTAGGGAGAGATTTGGGAAGAAAATGTGTGCATGCACTGAGTAAATATTTTTTTCCCCACTTTAACCTAATTTAGCCATTTATATTACATCAACCAAATCATACCTAATAAGTTTTTCATGTGTGCCTCACCTGTCTGGATTGCTTTTGATGTAAAAAGGACATTCATCTAGATAAAAATACTTTTAAAATGAAAGTTAAAAAAAATAGAACTGTCTCAAACTGGGTCCCAGGTCATATAGTACAATCTGGAATGTTATTTTCTTGGTTTTTATTTACTGCTTTTCTTGTTATAAAGTAAATGCTTAAGAGCTCAGTATCTTAAGCCAGACTTTCTAGTCTCAAATTTTAGTTCTGCCACTTATTGGTTGTGCGTCCTTTGACAAAGTATTTAATGTTAATGGTTCAGTTTTCTCATCTGTGAAATGACAATAATATAGTATCTTTTTGATGAGAAGGTTGTTGTGAGGATGAAGTGAGTCAAGCCAGATCTTAGACAAGTTTCTGGTATATACTAAGTTCTCATTAAATTTCTGCTGCTGAGATTGTTATTATTATTACTGTTGTCATCTTAAATTTTATGACTCAAAAGTACCTGGCAAAAATATTTGCTGTTTGGCTTAGAAGAGATCGCTCAGTGACCTTAGCCTGTCCCTCTCTTTAGTTCTACTGTCAGTTTTAAGTTTGCTTTTTCTTCCCATCTGCCCCATCAACTTTCCATTATTTATCAGCTTCTTGTTGACCATTTTCCTGGGAAATTAGTTTCTAAGAGATTAATTTGGTCCAGTTTATTCTGTAAAGAGATTTTGGTATCATTTTCTTTCTTAAAAAATACTTATCTCTAATTGCACAAAAACTCTAAAGCATATTACAAATAAGAGGTAGATATAGAGCTTTTACCTCTTCAGACTCACTAGACAGTATCAACCTAGCAAAAATAGTTTAAGTATGTCTTTTTCCCTAAAATGCATGAATAGATCATCTTAAGTCTTATAGGTTTATGAAATTCAATCTGATTTGTAAAATTGATTATACCCTCTTTTATGCCCTCATTGTACTCTTTACAGACCTCTAGCCTGTCATGTACAGGACTTGTGTATATATTTGTTTTCCATACCCCTAACTGAGCTCTTTGTGTCTTACTCATTGTCATATCCACCATGCATAATGGAATTCCTGATATATAGGTCTTCAGCACGTGTTTTTTAAATAAATTAGTAATTCCAGTAAGAACTACTTAGATATTTTCTTAACCTTCAAATGGAATCCTATTAATCCATCTATTTTTATTTAGATTAGACATTTATGGCATGGGGCCTACCTTGGAGATGTAGAGAAAGACTTCAGCATGGAAGTATGCTTTACCCTGTTAGTCCTTTCGTAGATGCTTTGATTGGGTGGACTCTTGATATACTAACAGGAAATGGGGCCAGCAGAGTTAGCCTTTTACTTGCATGGATAATTTAAAATAACTGAATTGTGAAAACATTGTAGATTCTTATTTCATGACTCCTGTGGAAATAGCCTCAGAAGTAAGTGACGTCCTCTGTTTGCTATATCTATGAAGGTTTGACACTTTGACTAGATTATATACTTACTTGAAAATATTCAAACTTTTAGGGATGTTAAAACCTTTCTTCTTAAGGTGATTATGATTTTCGGACAGTATTTGGGACTGTACCTGTGGTTTGTGATATACAGCAAATGACACCAAGAGAGGTAAGAGATTCTGTTGGGTTGATGCTCATAAAGAGGAGAGTGGATTATCCCACAGAAGCAATGAGAGTGATTTTTAGAAGGAAACTATTACTTAATGTTTACCATAGGGTAAACATTTGAGAGATGTTGACATTAGCTTACTTGTTTTATTTTTTTTCCCTTATTAGTATTATATGTAGATGTGGAATCTGATTTTCACGCTAAAGTTCCTGTTGTGGTGTGCAGAGATCGGAAAAGGTTGGTAACAATGAAGAGAAAATAAAGTCTTTTTAAAAATAGCAACCATCACCAAATATGCACTGAACATCAACAAAAGAGAAAATTTTTGTTTTAGATTTCTCCTTGGATTAATATGACTAAGCTGGTTTCTATTAAAAATAGCAAGCTTACTAAAAGCCTGTGAACAAGAAATAGAATTACCAGACAGTTAAAAATAAAACACTATAAGGCAGAACTTTGCATTTTTTTCTCATGTTCATTCACCTAACAGTATTGAGCATTTACTCTATGTTAGATACTGCCTTGTTAGGGGTACAAACATAAATAAGAAATAGCCTCTCTTCTCAAGGAGCTCACAGTCTGTTAGCATCTGGTTTTCAGTCCACTGAAATTGGATGAATCACTGAAGACTAATCTTGCCTTTCTACTCAGATGTCTAGAGGACTAAGAGAGCAAAGTGCCTTTGAAAAAGGAAACTAAAATGAACCTTTTTGAGATCAGTGTGGGAGACATGGAAACAATACAGAAATAATAAAGTGTTCTTTTATTGATTATTAACCTGTGTTTCCTATATTTTAAGATTACTGTATTTTCTTATTCAAAGCACTAGAAGGAGATCTAGTTTAACTCCCTTATTTTCTAAATTAAAAAGTTGAGACCTGGAGGGATTAAGCGGTTTGTCCTAATTCACATCATTTAGGGGAAAATCAGAATTGGAATAGAGGTATTCTGATTTCTAGTGTTTTTTCCCCACCCCATTGTGTCAAATTACCTCTGTGCACCACCCACATTCCCTGCCACCAAAATATCTGTACGACGGTTCTGTCACCCAGTTTAGGGTAGCTCCTGTTTCCACTTGTAAGCTTATTTGTGGGTTAATATGCAAATCTCTTCTAATTTCTGATCTGAAAATAGCATATCAATAAAATATGAAAGCTTGGGCAGGAAAAATTAGAGTCAAGAAGTACAGCTAGTCAGTTCAGTATCTCATTTTTTGTTTTTATCACATGCAAAACAAAAAGAATGAACTAGGAAGGTACATCGCACTATTTGACATTGACGAGATCAATGTCTTTTCTCTCATATAAATCAAATTTTGATGACTCATGCTGCTTTTGAAATTAATTTCTCATGAACTTAAATACTAAGTGAGAATGAAATTTATTTCTGAAATACAAACATTTGAAACATCTTTTTATTTTTCCCTGAGGAAAATTAGCCCTGAAATAATAATTGTGCCAGTCTTCCTCTACTTTATATGTGGGTTGCTGCCCCAGCACAGCTGACAGTTGCTGTAGGTCCACGCCTGGGTTCTGAACCTGGGCCACTGAAGTGGAGCATGCCGAACTTAACCACTAGGCCATGAGGCCAGCCCCTAAAACATCTTTATGTGGTGGAAATGATATGTAGTTTTCAGTTAGCTCTAAGTTTATTAAAACATTTGTTTTTATTATGACGCCTTAGGTATTAAAATATGGTGACTGGAAAGGATAGCCACAGGATTTGAAGTATTCTGGTTTTTAAGGTATGAATACAGTGAAATTTGTTTCTTTCTCTTTCACAGTGGTTTACTGTGTAGAGTGAGTGCAGGAAATGATATGGCATGCCTCACTACTGATTTACTTGCTGCTCTTGGCAAAATGGAACCTGTCTTTACTCCCTTGGTGTTAGCCTTTCGCTATTGGGCTAAGGTAAGTGGAACAAGAAAAAAGTACCTAATCTTTAAGATAACTCAGGCTTTTTCCTGTATTAACATGTAATATAAATCATAATATATGGGGACAAAGTTATCTGTGCTAGACAGAAAGTGATGTGTCAGGTTCCGATTATGGACATTAAAATAAAATTTCATAGACATAAAGTTAGTGATATATTTTGGAATTTTTAGTTATCATACTTTATTTTCCTTTTATGTAGTATAGAAACATTCTCTTTCACATCTTAATATATGAGGCTCAAGTTTTCAATCTTATTTCAAGTTACAGTTGTAAGATATGATTATGCAAGTTAAGCTGCTTTTGTTAGCATGTTTTTATCAATCTCTGTCTTAGAACATTATTCTCTTTCTTCTAAATTATTGATAACGTGTAGCAGTTTCTGCTTGGGCAACTGCTGAGGATTGGTTATCTAAGTTTCCTATGTTAGAATTAATGTGTATTATTAAAGGCTGTGAGTCCTCTGTACTCATTTCTTTGGTATGGAGATAGGGAGGAGTGGTAAAGTAATTACCAGTATCAGTGAAAATGGAGAGAAAGAGAGATTTTAATTTTATTTTTTGTGTTCTTATCCTGTCAGTATACTATTCAATACTTGTTAGACTAGAGATGAGAAAATTCTCAATCTTATACAAGGAAGGTCGATTCAGGGGGTAGGTGGTGGAGTGATAACCTGAGAGCAAAAACAGCCAGAGAGTTCTTTTTGGAATTTTTTGTCTGGACTCTGATTAGAGGATTGTCCCCATGGGTGTGGCAGAACCAGCTGGCTAAGGAACAGCTGGGAAAGTAAGGAATAGTCAGAAAGCCTAAGGTTGGGGCTTCTTCATAGCCAAGGCCTCTTTGTATTTGCTGTTCCCTTCATCTAGAATGTTCTTACCCCACATATCCAGAATGGTTCACTCTTTTACTTTTTTCAAGTTTCTGCTCAAATTTCACTTTACCAGAGTTTTCTGGATCTGGAAAATAGCATTGCCTCCATCATTCTGCCTTTACCCTGCTTTGTTTTTTTCATTGCACTTACTACCCCCTGCCATTCATATATTCATTTGTATGAATGAAATTGTAAACTCTGTGAGGACAGGGATTTTCATCTGTTTTATTTATTCACTACTCGTTTCCAGTGCTGCTGCTTTTACTGTGCCAGCACATAGTAAGCATTTAATAAATATTTGTTGAATACATGGCCCAGTTTCTTCAGAAATGAGACTTTTAATCCTTGGAAGTGACTGGGAGCAGTGAACTAGGCTGAGGGAGGGTGAATACCTCCTTTTATTTATCTCATTATACTCTGTGCTTAGCACAATGCCTGGCATAATATAGAAATTTAATGCTATGAAATGGTATAAACCAATTCTAACTGTCATTTTTTGTTTTTTTTTTGAAAGGAAGATTGGCCTTGAGTTAACATCTGTTGTCAGTCTTCCTCTTTTTGCTTGAGGAAGATTGTCGCTAAGCTAACATCTGTGCTAGTCTTAATCTATTTTATATGGGATGCCCCCACAGTGTGGCTTGATGAGCAGTGCTAGGTCCGTGCCTGGAATCTGAACCTGCAAACCCCAGGCCACCGGAGTGGAGCACATGAACTTAACAACTACACCACCAGGCCGACCCCCAACTGTAATTTTTACGCTAAGTATTTATGTGATTTTGAGCAAGGCATTTCAGGAAAATCTGAGGCTCAGTTTTTCCATCTGGAGAGATTATTTCAAAAATTAGCTAATGCATGAGAGTATACTTTGAACTCTAAAATGCTGCACAAATTGTTATTTTCAATTGGCAACTGAGGTTATTTAAATAATGATAAGTCAACAGGAACAGAAACTGGTGTGACAACCCTAGTGACCAAAGTTTCTCAGAGTGTGGGATGAGACTGGTAGACGAGACCTACCCATCACTCAGGAAATCCAGTGTATCAAACCCTGGAAGGTTTGTGTCTTCATAAGGGATGGAAGGAATAAAGAGCTTTCTCTGGGAGAGTACTTCTTAATTATGCCCTAGTTTTTTAGTGGTCATAAAGTAGTGTCAGTTTTCTCATAGACATTCTTTTATTCTTTTAGGTAAGTAGACTATGTTAGAGGAATATAAATGATACTCAAATTTTTTCATTTGGAAAAAGAAATATGTCCTATAAACTTTGTTTCCTAGAGTGCCTCTTAGACATAAAGATTGATCAAACTTGTATTTATTCTAAACATACTGGTCAATGAAGGACACTAAAAAACATATATTACAAAGCTGATTGCAGAGTGGTTCCTTTTTATTTCCAACAGAACAATGTGTCTCATTTTTGGCAGCTGTGTTAGTTGCAAAGAGCTTTTTTCATGTTTTCATTTTCTGAGTTTATTGTAAGAAACCTAGAAATAATTCCTGTTTTATGTTTCCTCTCAAAGATTTTTTTTAAACAGCTTTTATTTATCTTGAAGTTTTAAGCCATATTGCACATTATCTAGTAAAGCACAGATTTTCCATGATTTGAGAGTTCAGAAAAATTCTAGTATATGAATGTAAGTCATTCTTGTAACTGATATCATGGGATTGCTGTTGACTGTTCTTTGGCTATCTCCTCTCTTAATTTGCTATATTGTTAGCATTCCAGTAATAGGAAATAGTTTTCTTGTAAAGCCTCTTAACTCTGGATGGCAAAACTCTTTAGCTTTATCAGTGTATTGTAGTCAAGTTTCCTGGCTCAGAGCAACTCTTTTTGGTTAACATAGGAATTAATTTTAGCAGTATTTGACATCTAAAAGAAATCCCTTGGTTTTCTATTTTTATTTTTTTGTATATATTCAAAGTATTCGACTTGATGATTTCATATATATATACACTGTAAAATAATCACCAGTCAAGCTAATTAACATCTATTACCTTACATAGTTACCTTTTATGTGATAACTATGAAGTTCCCTCTTAGCAAATTTCAAGTATACGGTACAGTATTGTTACCTATAGTCACCATGCTGTATATTAGATCTCCAGAACTTATTCCTCTTGTGTAACTGAGATTTTGTACCCCTTGACCAACATCTCCCCATTTCCCTTTCTCCTAGCCTCTGGTAACCACCATTCTACTTTCTGCTTCTATGAGTTTGACTAATTTAGATTCCACGTATAAGTGAGATCATATAGTATTTGTCTTTCTGTGTCTGGCTTATTTCACATGGCATAATGTCCTCTGGGTCCATTTATGTTGTAAATGGCAGAATTTCCTTCTTTTTTAAGACTCACTAACATTCTGTTGTATGTGTATACCACATTGTCTTTGTTCATTTATCTGTCATGGACATTTAGATTGTTTCCATATCTTAGCTATGAGATCCGTGTTTTGAGAGCTTTCTTTTTTTTTTTGAGGAAGATTAGCCCTGAGCTAACTACTGCCAGTCCTCCTCTTTTTGCTGAGGAAGCCTGGCCCTGAGCTAACATCCGTGCCTGTCTTCCTCTACTTTATATGTGGGACGCCTACCACAGCATGGCATGCCAAGCGGTGCCATGTGCACCCCTGGGATCTGAACCGGCGAACCTCGGGCCGCTGAGAAGCGGAACGTGTGCACTTAACCACTGCGCCACCAGGCCGGCCCCATAAGAGCTTTCTTTTAAACTGCCTTAATGTTATTCTTCTGTGAAATATCTGATAGTGTTAACAGCATACATGAGCAGTTCTTTATAGTTGCTAAGAAGTTTCTGGTTAACTTGACTTCTTCAGTATAGCTCTTTGTCCTAATAGTCTGGATAAATGAGAATTTATTCTAGTGGAATATTTGAAGCTCTTTTTTAAAAAGTTTTTTATCTTCTCTTATTTTTAATTGTATTCTTAAGTTTATTAAGCCCTTAAAGCTTTAGTGATTATGCTAAGTCTTTATTATCTAAAAAGGAAAATAAGAAAACCAAGCCAATTATAGACCAGTCTTATGTAGATGCAAAAATCTAAATAAAATATAAGCAAGTGCAATATATATCAGTGTATCAAAAGGTAATATGGCATGACCATGGAGGATTTATTTCAGGAATATAAAAATGGTTTAATATCAGGAAATCTATTAACATAATTTAGTACATTGACTAAAACAGAAGAAACATTATAGATGCCAAAAAGACATATTCTTCCTAAAAAAAGCTCTTAAGTAAACTAGAAATGGAAGTTAATGATAAAGATTATATACAAAAAACCCAAAATGTAACAATAACAAACATCATTCTAAACAGTAAATTGCTCAAGCCATATATTTAGGCATATAACAGAGATGTTCACCAATGATGTTGTATGTTGTTTTGGAGATTTAAAAAATGAAATAAGAAAATGAAATGAAATAATGAATATAAATATTGGAAAAACAGTGAAAATTTCTCTTTGCTAATGATATGATTCAATACCTAGAAAATTTTAGTAAAAAACCACTAGGATTAATAAAAGAATTTGTAAGATGACTAAATACAGTATAAACCTACAAAAACTAGTAGCTTTTCTCTGTCATAAAAATAACCTGGTAGAATAGAAACAGGGACAGTATTACCGTCATGATAGTGACACAAATTATAAAATACTAAGGAATAAATTTAATAAGAAAAGTACAGGAAGAAAATTCTATTATTGAAAGGTAAAATGAAATCTGAACAAATTCATTCATGCAGCAATTTTTTTTTTTTTTTTTTGAGGAAGATTAGCCATGAGCTAACATCTGCTGCCAATCCTCCTCTTTCTGCTGAGGAAGACTGGCCTTGAGCTAACATTCATGCCTATCTTCCTCTACTTTATATGTAGGACGCCTGCTACAGCATGACTTGCCAAGCATTGCCCTGTCTGCACCTGGGATCCAAACCGGCAAACCCCGGGCTGCTGAAGCAGAACATGTGAACTTAACTGCTGTGCCACCAGGCCAGCTCCAGCAAATATTTGTTAAATGCTTCCTATGTGCCAGACACTGCTATTGGTGCTAGAAAAATATAACAGAACATACAGAGTCCTGTTGACATGAAGCTTACATACTTTTGGAAGAATCAGACAGTAAACAAATAAATAAATAACATATCTGGTAGAGTTTAGTGCTATGAAAATGAGATGATGTGTTAAGAGAATGACAGTACCCTGGATGGGCAGGAAAGGCTCTTTGAAGAAGTGATATTTAAACTCAGACCAGCAGTAACCAGTCACCTGAAAGTCTGAGGGAATAGCATCCAAGGGATAGCTACTTCAAAGCCTCTCAGGTGGGAGTGAGCTCATGAGGACCAGAAAGGAAGATAAGAATGACTGGAATGAAGTGAGTGACTGTGAAAGTGGTAGGAAATAAGATTAGACAGACAATTCCTGTGGTAAGGAGTTTGGATTTTAATTGCAGTGAGGAAGCACAGGAAAAGTTTTAAAAGCAATCTGTGACTTGATATGATTTATGCTTTGGAAAGATTTGTTATCCCTAAAATGTAAAATCACATGAATTAATTTTTATATGTACAGTAATTTGAGTTAGAATTACTAAATTTTAAAAATTTTGATAAAATGGTCTTAAAGTTATAGAAGAATAAATGTTTGAGAATAGCCTAAAGAAATCAGAAAGAGAAGACTAGTGTAGGGAGACCTACTTTACCACTATAAAACTTCATTAGTCAAGTGTATACCATTGGCATAGGAATAGACAAATAGATCTGTGGAACAGGATAGAAAGCCCAGAAGTAGATCTCAGTGTAAATGGGATTTTTTTTTTTTTTACTTGAGAATTTGCCCTAGGCTAACATCTGTGTCAGTCTTCTTCCGTTTTGTATGTGGGTCACCACCACAGCATGGCCATCAACAAGTGGTGTAGGTCCATGCCGAGAAACTGAGCCTGGGCTGCTGAAGGGGAGCATGCTGAATTTAACCACTAGGCCACAGGGCTGGCCACTAATGAGATTTTAATGTATGAAAAACGAGATTTCATTTCAGTGATAAAATGATGGTTTTACAATTAACATTATGTGAGGGTTAAAAACACATATTTGAAGATATCAAGGACTCAGAAATGCCCACACAGCTTTTCCTAAGCAGTTGCAGGAGGCTGTGTTCCAACAAATCAAGGACATAAAACTGGGATCCAGGCAGTAAGCAATCCCATCCAGGAAAATGGCAAAGAAAAGTCCCAGGAATACAGCTGTGGGTTGGGTCTGTAGGGCAGTCAAATTGGATGAAGAAAATAGGGGCTCCAGGATGGAAGCCATCAAGACCAAAGAAGTATCAAAAGAATAAATAATATTGTGGAGATTTTTCAAAACATTAAGGAATAAAGATGGCAAATTATGTGAGAAAAAAATGATGGTTTATTTTATAAATGGTGCTGTCACAGCTGTATGTTTCTTGAAGAAAATAATATTGGACTCTTACCACACTAAATGCAAAAATAAACTCGACTTAAAATAAAAAATTTATAAGAAAATATGAGTGTGTATATGTAACCTTTTTACCATGATGGGAAATCTAGAAGCTATATAAGATAAACATATTTAACTATATAAATGTTAATACATTTTGTGTGATAAAAGGTACCATAAATAATGTCAAAAGTAAAACAGGTTGGGAAAAATAATATTTTTCAAATGCATATATCACATATGAAGAGTTACTGTCTGTAATGTAAAAAGAACTCATACAAATTCATATGTAATTTATGAAATTAGAAAAACTGGCAAAATATTTAATAGGCAATTCAGAAAAGCGCAAATCCAAATGGTTAGTAAACACATGAAAAATTGCATAGTCTCTTAGCATCAGGTGATTGCAAATTGAAGTAACTATTAGATGTTACATCTCACCCATTCCATTGACGAGTTTTCAGAAGTGATAATGTCTAGTGTTGGAAAGCGTGTGTGTACATTAACATGTTACTGGTGAAAAGAGAATTTTTATAGTGATTTTGGAAAACAATTGTATAATATTTATTAAAATTCAAATATATCACGTATTTTTTAATCCAGCAAACACATTCCTAGGAATATAGCTCATGGAAATGAGCATATCCTTAGGAAATATGTATAAAGATAAATATTGTAGCATTGTTTAAAGTGGCAAAAACTGGGAACAAAGTGTGAATGGCCTTGGGTGGTGGAATTATTGAGTAACCATCCAGATCATAGACTATATTTAACTATTTAAAAGAATGTGTTAGATCTGTACTAATTGACTTAGAGGGACTTTCTTGATGCATTGTTAAAGGAAAAGAGTAATGTATGAGAGATGTCTAGAATATACAATTTTGGTAAAACGGTGATAAAAACATAAAATTCTTCCTGTATTTGCATAGAAAATAGAAATGTATATATACTTGTATACGGTTATTTGAGTATAGAAAAAGACATGGTACATAGAAGATTGTTAACATTTAGGCAGAAGTAAAAGCAAGATAAGAAAATGATATTTTAGAAAGGTGTCCACAGTAAAAGCAGTATATTTGGTATGATTCCATTTAACTAAGATATATATATGTGTCTTTATATGTAATAAAGAAATGAATGTAAAGATGGTCACCAATATGTTAATAATTGTTTCAGCGTGGTAAGATTTCAGATCATTCCTTATATTTTTCATTGTTTGAACCTTCCCCAATGATTATAGTAGGAAAAAACAAGCTACTTTTGTTGTGAGGAGAACAAAGAAAATTAAAGAAAGCTAAATGGTGGTACTTTTCTTTCTCTTCATTTTGCAGTTGTGCTATATTGATTCCCAAACTGATGGTGGAATCCCTTCTTACTGTTTTGCTTTAATGGTGATGTTTTTTCTACAACAAAGAAAACCCCCTCTTCTTCCTTCCTTACTTGGAGATTGGGTAAGCATAAGTTTGTGACATATATTTGCATGTATATACGTAATTTGCTCTTGTAAAGTGCTCTGTTCAAACATTTTAAGCTGGAATTCTGGTTTGTGTGTTTGTCCATCTTTTTTTTTTTCTTTTAATAATTTTTCCACTACCAATTTGGAATGCCTTTTTATATAGATTGAAGGCTTTGACCCAAAAAGGATGGATGACTTTCAGCTGAAGGGCATAGTAGAAGAGAAGTTTGTGAAGTGGGAATATAATTCAAGTAGTGCAACTGAGAAAACCTCAATTGCTGAGGAAAACAAAGCTAAGGCAGACCAACCAAAAGATGATACCAAGAAGACAGAAAGAGACAACCAAAGTAATGCCATGAAGGAAAAACATGGCAAAGTAAGCTTTTTTTGTTTCATTTTTGGCTTTTCTATCTGTAGAATTTGTGATGCCTTCTATTGAAGCTATTTTAATAATAGATTGACTGACCTTGAGTAAGCCTCTTGGCCTCATTTTCCTCATCTGTAAAGTGAGGGGTTGATCTGGTTTAGTTTTTCAGTACTGAGACTCCTTAATGAATTTATACCTCATTTTGGAAGACTTGTGTTGTTTGAATCATGTCAAGGTAATTCTTTGTATCTTTTTCATTTAGACAAGGAAAATTTCCTTCAGGAGTTGGGCTGTGACCAAACCTTTAGCATATGGGGAATTATGTTGCCAGATTGGTGCTCCTTTAGGAGATGACTTGCTTATTTAATTATTCAACATTCATTTATTAAGGATCTGCTGTATGCTAGGCGTTGTCTTGAGTGCTAGAGAACCAAAGATGAATATCCATCAATTGTGTCTTCCAGAAGCATATAGTCTTCTGAAGATTACAGAAAGGTGAAAATTACTGAAATCATTGCCCTAGCTACACTGAATTATGTGTAGTTCCCTGAACGTACATTCCTAGTCCATTCAGCTGGCCCACTTTCCTAGACTACCTTCTACCCTCGCCTCAACCCACCAATTCTCTCAGCTAATGATCTTGCTTGTTACTTCACTGAGAAAACTGAAACAATTAAAAGAGAACTTCTGTACACTCCTACCACCGTCTACCACTATCTGCACTCACGTACTCTGCCTTGCTACTTGCTCTCAAAGCAAGTCTTAGTTCTCTCTCCTTCTCTATTTGGAGCATTTCAACATGTCTATCTTCAATTATGCTGGTTCGCTCCTTGATGATGTCTGCTTAAGCGTTCAGGGAATCCATATTTTGTTTTAACTCATCCATTATGTTTTTCATCTCCAATATTTCTGATTGGTTCTTCTTTATAGTTTCAGTCTCTTTTGTGAAGTAGCTCCTGTACTTGTTGAATTGTTTCTTTACATTCTCTTTTAGCTCGTTGAGTTTTTTGATAGCTGTTTTGAATTATCTGTCATTTAGATTACATATTTCTGTGTTTTCAGGATTGATTTCTGAGTACTTGTCATTTTCCTTTTGGTCTGGAGATTTAATATAATTTTTGATACTGCTAGATGGCCTGGCTCTGTTTTTGTGCATTGTGGTGTTATTTGGTCGTAGTAACCACCTATTGCCACTGGGTGGGGTTCAAGAACTGCGTATTCTGAGCCTTGTGCGTTCTGCCAGGATCCCAAGCACTGGAGCTGGCGCTGGGCAGGTGGAGGGAGGGGCGCTTTCTTCTGTGTTCTCTCTGGGTCTTCTCACTCTGCCCTCCTAATCTGCTCTCCTGGGGTGTTGGCTTGATGAAGTGACCCCTCGCCATAGCTTTGACCCTGGTAAGGGGCTTTCCCTTAGGCTGTGAGGGACCTTGGGGATCTTTGATGTTCCCGCAAATGGGTGCCCCCTCCACTCCTTTCTTCCCTCTCAGAGGCTGCAGGCAGTCCTCTGGTGGCAGTCTTTGGTGGGGGAGCAATGCTTTCTCTTACTCCATTCCACCTCCTCTGAGGGGGACTCCAGCACTTCCACCTTCTGACCTATGGTTGCGTGAGTCTCTCAGACATTTTTTGTGTTGCATGGATGTTCTCTGTTGGAATGTGAATGTATTTTTTGTTGTGTTGTGGAGAGGGGAGATCACTGGGAGAGCTCACTCTGTCATGATGCTGACGTCACTCCTGCATAAGTCTCTTTGAATTGTTGATTTCAAGTTCTTTGGATAAATACCCCATAGTGAGACAGCTAGATCATAATGGTATTTCTATTTTTAATTTTTTGAGAAATCTCCATACTGTTTTCCACAGTGGCTGCACCAGTTTGCATTCCCACCAGCAGTGTATGCCCTTTTCTCCATGTCCTTTCCAACATTTGTTATTTTCTGTCTTGGTAATTATAGCTGTTCTGACAGGTATAAGGTGATTTCTCATTATAGTTTCGATTTGCATTTCCATAGTAATTAGTGATGTTGAGCATCTTTTCATGTGCCTTTTGGCCATCTGTATATCTTCTTTGGAAAAATATCTGTTCATATCCTCTGCCCATGTTTTGATTGGGTTGGTTTTTTTTTTTGTTGTGGAGTTATATGAGTTCTTTATATATGCTGGAGATTAACCCCTGGTCTGATATATGATTTGCAAATATTTTCTCCTTAGTTGGTCGGTTGTCTTCCCTTTTCGTTCATGGTTTCTTTTGCCTTGCAGAAGCTCTTTAGTCTGATGAGGTCCCATTTGTTTATTTTTCCTTTTGTTTCCCTTGTTTAAGTAGACATTGTATTTGAAAAGACACTTCTAAGACCGATGTCAAAGAATGTACTGCCTATATTTTCTTCTAGGAGTTTTATGGTTTCAGGTCTTACATTCAAGTGTAATCCATTTTGAGTTACTTTTTGTGTATGGTGTAAGATAATGGTCTACTTTCATTCTTTTGCTTGTGCTGTCCAGTTTTCCCAGCACCGTTTATTGAAGAGACTTTCCTTTCTCCAAAACTTAAGTCAGATCGTGCTGTTCCCCCTCCCCACACTCAAAATGCTTCAGTTCCTCCTCATTTAATTTAGAATAGAAACCAAGGAATTCTTACTGGCTAGCTCTTTGTTTTCCTCTTCTCTTCTCTCTACCATACCTGCTTTCTTAGTTTCCTTTTTAAAGTTAGGCTCATTCCTACTTTTGTGTGTTTGCTCTATTCTGTTCTTTATCCCTAGAACTCTTCGAATCATACCTTCTCAGTAAGTGCTGTCCTGACCACTCTGTTTAACGTGAAACCTTCTCCTCCCATATTCTCATCCCATTTACTAAACTTACTGAAATTTTTCTTATTTCCACAGCACTTTTCTTCTAACTTACTATGTAATTTACTTATTAAGTTTGTTGTTGATTGTCTTCTTCTACTAGGTGGTATGCTCCACTAAGGCAAAGATCTTTGTTTTTTTCCCACAGATATATCCCTCATAGCACATAGAAGGCACCAGTGAATAGTTGTACAATTGAATGAGTGAATGACTGTTTCATACCTCTGTGCTCCTTATTGGTCACTGTTAGCCAGTCTTCACTTAGTTAATTCCTTTAAAATTCAGGTATTACCTCTTCTGTTAAGACCTCCCTGATTTAGAGGCCCATTTTAGTATGTAGCCTTTACTGTAATTGTTAAATTGTTTCTTTGTCTCCTGATAGTCTGTGAAGTAGGACTTCACTTTATTTGAGTGGCAGAGTATGGTATAGTGATTAGCAACATGAACTCAGTAGGCAGGTGGTCCTTGTCCTACATTATCTACTTCATAGAGTTTTTAGAATTAATAGTTGTTATATGTGCAGCACTTAGAAGAGTGAACGATGCATGGTGAGCCTTATGTCTGAGTATCTGCTGTCATTTTTTTGTATCCCTAGCACATTGCCAGTGGCATAACAGATTCTAAATAAATGTTTGCTGAATGAAGGAATTAGCTTTTGAAAGCCCAGGGCATTTACTTAGATTTTAAAAGTAATTACTGCAATGAGGAGCTGTAGTGGTTCTTATGCAGTGGTTTGCAACCTTGGCTGCACATGAGAATCATTTAGGGAGTTTTAAAAATCCCAGTGCCTGGTCCGTAGCCTGGGTCAATTCAGTCAGAATGTTAGGAGGAGTATGGGAATTGGGAGTGATGTGGAATTCAGATATTTGTGTATTTTAATGTTTCTAATGTGATTCTAATTTGCAGCTAAGGTTGTTTAGTGGAAAGAACACAAAATTCTAGGAGTCAGTAAACTGAGACTCTGTTCCCAGCTGTGCCACAAACTGCTTTTTGGCAAATTACTCCTTTATGCCTCAGTTTTTGAAAAGGTGATCTCTAAGGTCTTTTTAAATTGAAAATTAAATGGTTCTATAGTTCTGTGAAGCTTAAATGAAAAGTACTTTTTCTTTTACAGTCTCCTTTAACATTGGAAGCAACAAATCAGGTGTCCTTGGGACAGTTATGGTTAGAGCTGCTAAAATTTTACACACTGGATTTTGCTTTGGAGGAATATGTTATATGTGTACGGATACAAGATATTTTAACAAGAGAAAATAAAAACTGGCCTAAAAGGCGAATAGCCATTGAAGGTGAGATGATATGTTATATTTCATTTGGAGAATATTTTTTTGTATGTCAGTCATCATCTGTTTTCTAATACAGTGTTATAGATTTTATTGCTTGGCTTTGTAGTGCTATATATGCCACCAGGTTGTCATTATATATATATGTTAGATAAATTCTTCAAGTCCATTATAGTTTTATAGGTTTAATTCTTATTTAAAGGTTCCCAGTATGTAAATATTAAATTGGTTAGGGTTATTAGCTTATTTACATCTTTAGTTTTAAATTATGAAAAATTTCAAAAATAAAAAAATAGAAGTTATACGCATACTATAGGATTATTTTTAATAAACATATCGTAAAATTATCTTAAAGTATAATTTTAAAATCATTTTTCATTATCTTCTAAAGTACCTCATCTGTTAAATGTAGCTAAGCTAAAAAAAAAATTGATGTTGACAAACAAGATTTCACACCAAATCCCAAGAACATTAAGATCTTGAGAGATAAAGAAATTAATAGAATGGTTTCTAAATTGTTAATCAAACATTTAAATTTCACAGCATTCCACTTTTTTTTTTGGCAAGGAAGGTTGGCCCTGCACTAACAGCTGTTGCCAATCTTTCTCTTTTTGCTTGAGGAAGATTGTTGCAGAGCTAACGTCTATGCCTGTCTTCCTCTATTTTATATGTGCGACACTGCCACAACATGACTTGATGAGCAGTGTGTGTGGGTCCAGGCCCAGATCTGAACCCATGAACCCCAGGCCTCCAAAGCAGAGTGTGTGAATCTAATCACTATGCTACTGAGTTGGCCCCTCCACTCACTGTTTATAGTTAGGAAATTGAATTTCTGTCCATCATTTTAGTCTGTTTAGATTACACATTCTTCTGTTCTCTTAGTCCTCTGCTGGGCTTCTCTACTGTGATTTGGACCCCCAGATATTCTCACACTCTCAAACATGTACTCACATCTTGTACTCTCTTACTTATAGTAAATAAATGAGCTCTGAAGCCTGCAGCCATCATAATTTTTCTTCTTTTGTTTCTTTTTCTTTTTCCTCTAGAAAGGGGAAAGAGGCTAGGAAAAGCTTTTTAAAGCATATGGATTTAGCTAACAGCAAGAAGTAACAGATGCCCCAACCTTAACAATCTGAAAGCTGGCCTGTTAAATTTTTTACTTAGTGATCTTCTTTAGTGGAGAAAATGTGTGTTGTCTTTTGGGTAGCACCGTTCTTTTTTCCTGGGACATAGTTGTATTTAAAGCTTATAAAATTCAAAAACCCATAAAGACTTTTAGAAGTTTGTAATATGTTCTTAATGAGGATGCTGTTGATGCAAGCCTTTTCAGCATAGCTATTTTAGACTGGATCAAAATTTAGATTTTGGTTTAATTTTCACTTTCTTAGATTTCTATTTCTCCTCCTCCTTTCTTTAATTTTCTGGTCTCACTAAAGTTAAAACTTAAAATCAGTATTTTTTTAACTTGATACTTTGAGAGTCTTAGGTTCTATTTTATTTGTTTAAATTTTAAGGAGTATGTAACTAAAGAATACTATGATGAGAGATGAAAATTATTGACAAGTCCTGGAGATTGAAAAATTTCATTCAATAACAGTATATAGAGAGGCATATTGGCATAGCTTTTTCTAGCAATTTCATCATTGAAACTTTGTAATTACTGAGTTGGTCTCCTTAGCCATCTTCTCATTAATTACCTTATTATTATTTTCTCTCTTTTCCTTTTAGCTTTTTATTTTATGTGAGAAACAAAGGAAAAGATGTTGCTGTTGTATTTCCCCTATTCAGTTTGCAGGAACTCTCATTAGTACCTTAGGTTAGAAGAACTTTGGGAAAATGTACTCTGCTGACAATCTAGCGGTTAAGATCTATTTTTATAAGCTTGGAAATATAGTTTGTTAGTAGACGATTAGCTACTGACCATTTTCTTTTTTACTAGATCCATTTTCAGTCAAGAGGAATGTTGCACGGAGCTTAAACAGCCAGCTTGTTTATGAATATGTTGTGGAGAGATTCAGGGCAGCTTACCGGTATTTTGCCTGTCCTCAGAGGAAGGGTGGAAATAAATCTACAGTGGATTCCGTGAAAAAAGAGAAGGGGAAAATAAGCAATAAGAAACCAGTGAAGTCTGACAATATGGCATCCAATTGTTGCATTCTGCTTGGGGAAAGCACAGAAAAAATAAATGCAGAAAGAGATCCACCTGATAAATATGATGAAACAGAATGTACATCACAGAGATGTATTACTGAAGATGTCAGTTTGTCGGTAAACGAACTAGATTTAGCTGAACATGGACAGGAATCTTCATCTCTTTCTACCAGTGAAGGCAGTGAATTAGAGCCAAAATCAATTAAGAAACGAGATGATTTAGCGTCTTCAGAAACATGTTTAAAAAAGGAGTTCAGCCAGTGTAATTGCAATGATTATAAATCCCCTGACCCAGATAAATCTGCTGGTACAGACTGCAGGTCAAATTTAGAAACAGAGAGTTCACATCAGATTGTGAGCACCGACATATCTGCTACCTCTTGCAACTGCAAACCTACAGAAGATGCTTCTGACCTTAATGACGATGGTAACCACCCCACCCAGGAATTACATTATGTGTTTGATAAGTTTATTTTAACCTCTGGCAAGGTAGGATACAGTTTTGTAAACAATTGGTAAGATTTTGTGGCAGTTGTATAATTCTGTATTTATAGTTTTTAGATTCAGATGTGTAAAAATAGATTCTATGATGGTAGACTATTGTTTTCGAGTGATATTTTGGTGTATGTATTTCACTTTTTGCATTTTTGCCTATAGTTGCCTTTAAAGAATGTATGTAAAACTCCAAAGGTTTCATCACTGTGTTACTAGTAGATTTGCTTTACTGTCTCATATGTGGAAGGATTCATCAGATATTTTATGAAAAGCAGTTTGGCAAAGCAGCATGTATTTTAAATTTTGCTTATTTTTTATGCATATGATTATTTTTTCTTCCACAGAGGAGAATACAGGGTTTGTAAACTCTATAATAGTATTCTATTTTAAAGTTTTTTTTGGTGGGAGGGGAGGGGAAAGTGATGAAAAGTATAAACTTAATAGAGATAGTTGAGTGAAAATTAAGATCAGAAACCAAAAAAATGAAGAATCCAGATTCTGTCTCTGCCACTGAGCTTCTCTTTGGTTTCTGGCATGTCCCTTATAAGTTATAGGAGTCTTAATTTTTCTACTTTTAAAGTGGGCTACTCTGAACTTTAACTTGATAAATTATAGAAAATAAAATACCCCAATGAACAGAAAATAAGCAATTACTACTTTGCTAATAAAGGAATGTTTTAGCTGAGTCACATTGCTTCAAGTGCGGTGTACATAAGGGAAGTATTAGCATCCAGGATGAAAAAATGATTATATAGGTCATTTGTAAACCAAGTAGAATATTTTTTAAAAAACTTAGAAAGTCATCCAGTTTTATTGTTTTATCAATAATTATTTATTGACAAGCTTTAAAATTTTTAACCTAATTACTAAGCTGTATTTCTTCATTCTTTGTAAGGATACATCTGTTGGCATTTTGTTCAGGTTGCAGTACTTAGGGCATATGGACTATTGAAGGGATGAAATAATGGCAGATTTTTAGAAAAGCCTCAATTATATAACTGCAGTTTACATTTCTTATACTTCATACTTTTGATTTCCTTAGGGTAATTCTTACTCCAATTTTAATTATTTTAGTTATCTGTAATAAATTTCTAGAGTTGGCCTGATAAATATGCCTTTTTTTTTTTTTTAAAGCTTTGAAAAGCTGATAGAAATTCCTATGGTAATGTTAATTAGCCCACAGCACAGTGTTCCCACAAACAGGTCTCTTCTGTTTATAATTTGCATCAGAGTTCATGGCTAGGTAAATTTCTAGGCTAACCCTGGACGAAGAAGCTAACTCTAGGATGTAGCATATTACAATAAAAATAAGAGTAGTGCTCTTCCTCAACCATATGTGTTTTTTCCAACTAATTGGGGTAAGTTTTTACTGTTTTAGCCTTGTAGTAGTAGTCTACTGGAATACATTTAAAAGTTGGTATAGGGTCTGAAGTTAAGTTTGTGGTTATTGCATAGGAGATGTTCCTTGTATGAAGCTAATTTATTTTTTAAGAGTTCAGCCCTGCAGTTTGGTTTCTTGAGTACTATGCTAATGTAATAAATTGAACCAACTAGCCAAGCAAGGGTTCCGTGATTGATTTGGAAGATAGTCAACATTTGGAGTGAAATGAAAAGTGCCACTTGAAATTTCTTTATAATCTACTTTGTTAAAGATCTTAGTAGATTAATATGTAATGCATGTATTTTGTTTTGGGAGTTGATCAAACTGTTTGAATTAACCCATACATTTTGGATCTCCTGGGATTTCTTGTATTTTACATCTTCAGGTAAATCTAATCATTGACAATATTTTAGTGGGGAAGAAAGTAGGTTAGCTCAAAATATGTCTTTTACACTTAACTTAGCTTTTCATTAACATTTTCTTCCTTTTTTTTTTTTTTTTTTAAACCTTCTGAAAGCACAGTTTATCAGAACTGTGTTACATAAAAGATTCTTTTTGGACCTATTTTCTAAGTGATGATGAAGTCCCTCAATAGTTTATTAGATTGTTTTTCTACCTTTGTGTAGCCGCCAACGATAGTATGCAGCATCTGCAAAAAGGATGGCCATTCAAAAAATGATTGCCCAGAGGATTTCAGGAAAATTGATCTAAAACCTCTACCACCAATGACAAACCGATTTCGGGAAATACTTGATTTAGTATGTAAAAGATGTTTTGGTAAGTCTTTCTTACTGGAACTGTTGAGACTAGATTACTTCTTAGATTTCGAATATTTATTTTCTTATTTAAAAACAGTTTGCTTACATTTTGTTTTTGTAGAGGTTTTTGAATAGTCTAGAGACCCAACCACAGATATTTACTTAATGTCTACTATGTGCAGGGCACTGTGGTAAATGCCAAGGGGAATACAGAGTTCATATGTGTTGCTTTTAAGGAGCTTAGATTCTGGATTTGTGCTCTCTGATATCGTAGCCACTAGCCACATGTGGCTATTTAAATTAAAATTAACTAAAATTAAATAAAAGTAAACACTAAGTTCCTCAGTTATACTGTCCACGTTTCAAGTACTGTGTCACTACCTGTGGCTTGGGGCTGCTGCATTGGGCAGCTAGACAGAGAACATTTCTATCCTTGCAGTGCTCTTGCATAGCGCTGCTCTAGGTGGATGTATAAAACATGTATGAAAATTGCCAAAATTGGAAGCAGAATACGTGACATGCTATAGCAGTGGTAAACAAAATGCAGTACAAACACAGTTAATTTTAACTGGGGTGAATCAGAGGAATTGGAATTAATGATGTGGTATTTGAGATGGACTTTGAACTGCATTTTCAGATATAGGAGATTACGCAGAAAAGCATAGAGTGTACAATTAGTTTGGGAGGATATTTACCTTAGATTTGGTAGAGTATAACAAAGGCAACAGAGAAGGATAGGGCTGTAAAGGTATTTTGGGGAAAACCTTACATACCTTTATTCAGCAAACATTTATGATGTACATGGGTTAAACTCTCACTCAGCACTTGCTGTTTCCCAGGTAAGAGAAGATTTCTGATGATGTAACAGGTAGTTGGTTCTTGTGTCCCTTTGATATACTGGTATCATTGTGTGTGTACGTTTTTTTGTTTGTTTTTTGGCACTTCCTTACTTTCTGGCACTACAAGATGCTCCCGTCTCATCATGTGTATTTCTCTCCCAGTCCTAGAATTAGACATTTCTCCAAAGAGCCCTGGTTCCTTTTATTAGAGAACAGTGTTAGAAACCAAGATCTGGATGCTAGGGTGCTTCTTATTACTGACTTTTGTTGCTTCTAGGCCCTGTTTGAGCAAGAAATTTTATATGTGTATACTAACCCATGTATATGTACATATCTATAAATATTTCTATATGTGACCATCCTCTCTATATTAAGCTAAATATGACTTCATCCTGATATCTCCAATTCTAATACATTATCACATGGCTCATTCTAGCCTCTTATCCCTGCTTATCTGTAAATTTCCCCCTCCAACAATGAGAAACCTGGCATCTACCATCTGCCAGTCATTTATTGAATTGTTCCACTTAAGTACACATGTATAGCATTCTAAAAACTGTTATTATCTTATACCCCTATGGGAAACAACTTTATCAATTAGAGTACAATGTTTATGTGCAGTTCCTTTTGTCCTTAGTCTTACAGATTTCACTCCTTTTCACAGTTATTTAAGTTAGCACATTTTTTCCTACTCCCTTGAGTGAAGTTGTCTTACATATTTATATTACAGTTAGATTCTTATGTTACAGCCTACATTCCATCCTGAGATTCCCCGACCTCCCAGATGATTTTTTAAAATTTGCATACTGTAAAGTTCAGTCTTTGTGCTGCGAAGTTCTGTGGGTTTTCATAAGTGCATTGTGTCATGTATTACCATTAGAATATCATACAGGATAGTTTTACCACTCTAAAAAAAAAAGCCACTTGTATTTCAGCTGTTCAGCTTGCAACCACTGATGCAACATTTGTTTTTCAAAAGCTGAATATTATTTTAATTCATTACAGTAAGTTGCTACTTTGTTCCCTTTACTGTATCAACTCTTGGGGATGAATCTAGAGGAGGAGATAGAGAAAAATAAAATAAAAGACTGTTCTTAAGGAATTATGGCCTTATTTGGAAAAATAATATGAATATAAATGAAATAACTAGAAAAATAAAAAGACAGTGTAAGCTAAACTGGCAAGCAGTTTGGAGAAATAAGGAGTTAAGGAGAGATCATTGAAGGCACTGTGGTTGGGCAAAGCAGCTTATAGGGAATATGAATCTTGACCAGGCATTTGAGGGAACTGTTAGATTTGAATGAGTCATGTGCCTAGCATAACAGTATGAGTATACTCTTAAAAGGAGGGAAAAACAAGCATGTTTATGGGAGAGGTTGGAATGTCTGAAGAAAACTGTTAAGTAATTTGCAGAAGTAAATATATTTTATAGATGTTTCATAGGCAAAATGATCATGTGAAATGTACTTAAGTCTATAAAAGTTATTTTTCTGCTGTCCCTCTGACCCTTCTTCCCCCAGTAACGTTTATGATTTTAAAGTTAGAGAAGTCAACAAATAATGAAGAAATTTTAAGTAAAGTTTTTAGGGTAAAAAATTGAAGACATTTTCAGATTCCATTTTCCTTACTTTTCTTTTTCCTTTCTCTTTTTTTAACTTAGATGAGTTATCACCACCTTTCTCTGAACAACACAACAGGGAGCAAATTTTAATTGGCTTGGAAAAGTTTATTCAAAAAGAATATGATGGTATGTCATATGTTAAAAATTGATTGCTTTTGTTATTATAGTCACCTGGTCTGTTTCATTCTTATATTTGAAAAGTATTTATTGACTGTTAGTGTTAGGTACTATTGTGGGTGCTGAGGATACAGTGCTAATAAAAGAGGTGAAACCTGCTCTCATAAAGCTTATATTAAGAAGGGGAGACAGATAGTCAACTAACAAATAAGTATATAATGTAGTATCAGGAAGTAATAAATGCTATTAAAGTGTTGGAGTTAAAAGGATGGTGATGGAGTGTTATGATAAGTTCTCTCTGATAATGTGATGTTTGAGCAGAGCCATGAATAATATGAAGGAGCAAGTTATTTGAATATCCACGTAGAGAACGTTCTAGAGAGAAAGAGGAGCAAGTACAAATACCCCCAGACTGGATTATGTTTGACATAGTTGAAGGCCAGCCGGGAAGTCATTGTGGCTGGGGTGGAGTGTGTGAGGTAGATTGTAACAGAAAGATGAGGTCAGAAAGGTAGAGATTGGATCATTAGGATTGGTAGAAGGATTTTGAATTTTGAGTGACTGATGAGAAGCTTCTGGAGGGTTTTAATGCTGAAGTGACATAATATGAGAGAACAAGAGTATAGAGCCGTAAGAATAGAAACAAGCAGAATATTTAGGAGCCTGTTGCATAAGTTTAGGTGAGATATAATAGTGATTTGATAGAGTAAATGAAAAGTGGTCAGGTTTAGAATATGTTTTGAATGTAGAGCCAATAGGATGTGCTGATGCATTACATGTTAGATGTGAGAAAAGAAAGGAGTCAAGGATAGTTTCAACTTAGCAGGAGTGAGTTTTGGGTATGGGGGTGAAGAATCAAGAATTCTGCGGCCAAATATTTTATAAAAGTGTAAAGTGTTGTTTTATAATCAGAATGAATTTGTACTTTTAAAAGATCTGTTATGTGCTGTAAGATTCCATTTTTATTATATTTGCTAGTGTATAAAGTATTGACCAAATCTAAGTCCCTGTTATATTAAACTTATGCACATTTTTAATTGCTGATGAACACAGCTTCTTTTATGTCTCTCAGTTGTCATTGAATTTCAAGTAGGGCATCAGAACTGAATTGGAGGATTAAGTTTTGAAAATATAGAATTTATCATCTAAATGTGTAGCCTACAAGAATTAATAGGAAGGAAAGTCCAATCCTTTTAAGCCACCTTATGGCTTATTTGAAGTGGCACCTGTTATTAAATGATGTTAACTATGAAGGGATAACTCTATTATAATTTATATCAAATGGATTAATCACTCACTTTTGGAGGAGAATTAATTCTGTGTACTACGGTAATAACTACTTGAATTGTGCCCTGAAAAAACTAGTTTCTTTTTAAGAGGTAAATCTCTAAATATTGATCTTGACTTTTTTTTTAAAAAGATTGCCACCTGAGCTAACAACTGTTGCCAATCTTTTTTCCAGCTTTTTTCTCCCCAAATCCCCCCTAGTTGTATATTTTAGTTGTGGGTCCTTCTAGTTGTGGCATGTGGGACGCCACCTCACCGTGGCCTGATGAGCGGTGCCATGTCTGTGCCCAGGATCTGAACTAGTGAAATCCTGGGCTGCGGAAGCAGAACGCATGAACTTAACCACTCAGCCACGGGGCTGGCCCCTGATCTTAACTATTGGTAGTGATGTTGAGAATGAGTAAAAATACATGAATTTATGAGATAGTTAACTTGGTGATTGTTGGGAGGTGGAAGTTGAGGGAGAAGTCTTAGGAACCATGTCTGTATTTCTGACTTGTGCAAGTGAGTAGATAATACTATTTGCTGAGAATAGGGATTACAGGAATAATAGTAGGTTTGAGGTGAAGTTGATAGTTTAGGTTTTTTTTTTTTTTGAAAGATTTTATTTTTCCTTTTTCTCCCCAAAGCACCCTCGGTACATAGTTATGTATTTTTAATTGTGAGTCCCTCTAGTTGTGGCATGTGGGATGCTGCCTCAGCGTGGCCTGATGAGCAGTGCCATGTCCATGCCCAGGATTCAAACTGGCGAAACCCTGGGCTGCCGAAGTGGAGCACACAAATTTAACGACTCGGCCACAGAGCTGGCCCCCGATAGTTTAGTTTTAACTTGTTGAATTTATGATGTCGGTGGAAAAATGGAAAAAGCAGTTAAATACATGGATGTGGGAACTTGTGCAAAAGATCTTGGCTTTAGATGAGTGTTTTGAAATTTCTCAGTATATCTACCAATGGTAGGTAACTTAATCCATAGAAGTGGACAAGATTATGTTGTATTAGGCCATTAGTAGGTAATAGAAGACTCCTCTTTCCTGCTAATTATAAAACTTCTGAATTGTGTTTTCCTTTGCTTAGAAAAGGCAAGATTGTGCTTATTTGGTTCTTCTAAGAATGGATTTGGATTTCGTGATAGTGATCTGGATATTTGTATGACCCTGGAAGGCCATGAAAATGCAGAGGTAAGAGTTAGTGTTTGGAAAGGGATATGGAAGTTTGTTTTCTTCCAATAATGAATCTATTTTTAATTTTGTATGTAATAGTGATAATGTATGTTGTTCTTTATATAAATATATTAGCAATAGGAGTATTTGAAATGTGAAAATATTAGCATTACCATTTTAGAAGACATTTGAATATTTAAGTAAGTAAATTTACAGTTTCAGTAATTGTATAGTGCAAAAACCATGTCACTGAGAGTTACAAATGCTTTGTAATGAATTTTTGGAAAAAGTTAATATACCATAGAGTGGAATTTTTTTTATTAGAACCAATGAGAAGCTGGCGCTTCAGTTCAGTAATGAACATTGATCTCACTTGCTGGGTCTTTTCATCTCTCTTCCATTAGATGATGTCTTTGTATCACTAAAGATAGGAAATAAAGATGAACATCTAATTTATAAATGGATTGTGTTCTTTAAATTAATTGTAATTTTTGGCCACTCAGAACACATTATATTTCTGTAGAATTAATATTATAAATGATGTCTTCTAGGATAGCTGTTAGAAACTCACTTGGGGTGGGGAGGGGAACTAACATTTATTGAGTCCCCAGTATACACTTTTACATACATTATCTCATTTCACTCTTACAACCACCTTTGAGGTAGATAATTTCCCCCATTTTACAGATGAGGAAACTGAGGCTTTGAGAGATAAACTGACTTGCCCAAGTTCACACAGCTAGTAAATGTTGGAGCCGGGATTCGTACCCAGGTCTGTCTGACTCCAGAGTTTATGCTCTTTCCGTTGTATCTCACTGCTTTTCTGTAATTTATTTAACCCATAATGTAGCTGAAATATAGTACTAATAGTACTGTAGGACCTAACCACTACTTTCTGAAATTGAAGGCTTTTTGAGTTCCACCGTGAGATGCCAGGAGCGGACCTTCCCCCAGAGCAGTCTAAGCAGTGAGAGTGGGTGCTTATGCTCTCCTTCTTTGTGTACCAGGCCCCAGCAGTGGGAACGAGATTGCCCAAGTTCCAGTAAAGAAAATGACTGAACAGGGAAGAAGTGTCCCAGACCTTCCTAGCAGCAACTAGAAAAGGAGAGAATCCCTGTAGTTGCTCAGTCTTTTACCAGCAGAGCTACAGGTTTTAAAATCAGGGACTGCTTGCAAGATTGGGGTGAGGCCAAGCTTCTGGCATCTGTAGTGGTGTCAGTATAGCCTGTGTTGTATTATAAAAGAATTCAGTAGGATAGTGTACCTATGTGTTTTTGAAATACTTTTTCCAAAAAGGTGGTTTTTAAATTGTTGGGACCGTAGTGAAGATGGCAGTGATGCCTGGTAGATCCTTATTTCTGGCCCCAAGAAATTTCTTGTAATGTTAATTTACATCTTCTTGTTCTATAAAGAAACTTAAAATTTGTAGATATTTTAGATCTCCTTAACTAACTTCTTCTTAGTGCCATCTACTTAGAAAGAGACTACCCCTCTCCATTTTGAAGAGCAAGAATTGAGGGAATAGGAAATAATTTTTACCCAGGGAGAAGGTTAGGGTTTTAGATATCCTCTGTGTAAAATTCAGTAATCAGACCTGTAATCTCTAAGAGTTTGTATATTATCTGTGCCATTCACGTTGGAAAGTTGAAACAGTGAAAAAAAATAATTTTCTTCCAGGTGAACCATAATTGAAACTTATAATTTAGCATAAATTGTATCCTTGCATAATAAAGAGAAAAATAACATCTTTTATTATGTGTTAAGTAGTAACTAGAGATTCCCTTGAAATCTATAGCTAAAAAGAGCATGTTGGGGACATGCAAAAGTGATTTTAGTAGTAAGTGTGGGGATTGATGTATATACCCTTCAGTTTAATCCAATTAATTTATAATACCATTATCTTTCCTATTCCTTGTATCATGGTGGTTGTTACCATATTAACTCTCCTGTCTCTAGTTTTTAAAAAAACAACACGTTTAAATTTACAGAGGTAAGAATTTCTTTGAAGAAGTAGGTGCTGGTAATGATAGGATTATTTTTCTTTTCCTCATCAACATAATAATAAATAGCTCACAGACTTAAAGTCCTTATTTTGTGCCAAGCCTGCTGTTGAATGTTTTACATACATGTCTCATGTAATCATTCCAACTACTCTATAGGGCAAGAGTTTATAGTTATCTTGATTTTATAGAATAGTGGTATTAGGCTCAAAGGGGTTAAGAATCTGGTCAATGTCACACAGCTAGTCAATACTTAGTTCAAGATTTTAATCCAGGATTGTGTAAATTCAGAGCCTTATGTTCTTAATCACTATACTGTTTTGGCTTCACCAAAACCATCTCTGGTTGTTTATTCATGTATTTGAAAACATTATTCCTCCTGTCTTTGCGCTTCTCAAACTTTAATATGAATGTGAATTACCTGGGTATCTTGTTAAAATGCAGATTCAGTAGACTGGGGTGGGGCCTGAGATTCTTCATTTCTATCAAGTTTCCAGAGGATGCTGATACTGCAGGTCTATGGACCACATACTTTGAGCAGCAAGGTTGTATAGAGCTTATGGTTGGAGAGTTTAAATGCTAGTATTAAATGCCTAGATTAAAGTAGAATTTACACAAGACCAAATTGGGTCAGACACACTTTAATTTATTATTTATTTCTTTTGTTTTTTAGAAATTAAATTGTAAGGAAATAATTGAAAGTTTGGCGAAAATTCTTAAGAGACATCCAGGTATGAATTTTAAATTCAGCTTTAAAACAACAAAATATTTTTTAGCTTCATGAAAATTATTTAATCTAGTGATTTTTTTTAAATCAGGTTTAAGAAATATTTTGCCTATAACTACTGCCAAAGTGCCTATAGTAAAATTTGAACACAGACGGAGTGGTTTAGAAGGCGATATCAGTTTATATAATACATTGGTAAGTTTCTCTTTCTGTATAGACCCAGGTATGTTTACCTGTCATTTTAAAAGTTCACAGATCATTGACTATATCTTTATGTTTGAAACTTTAAATGTGAGCTGTATAAGGAAAAAATATTTTATCAATCATCTTGATATTTCCTTCAGATTGAAGATTAGTTTTTGTTTGACTCATTTACAGGTATTTTAAGTTTTATATATATATATTCATTTTGAGTGTATTATATTTTTTTATCTGATTTGTAAATTTGATTTTAATAAATTTGAAATGTTTTCAAATATGTAATTATTTTTCAGGCTCAACATAACACAAGAATGCTAGCTACTTATGCAGCTATTGATCCTAGAGTGCAGTATTTGGGATATACTATGAAAGTGTTTGCTAAGGTATTTATGAAAAAGTTAATTATCTACTTTGTTCTAATACTCTTGATAGTTAAAGTGAAACATAGTGATGTCAGACTTGTTAAAAATATTTTTTCAGTTTTATTTACCTGAACTTTTAAAAAGAAACACTCAATGTTAAATGGCTTAAATTTATACCTATTAGAGTAGGATGAGTCTAAGTTTTTTCCTGTTTGTGCTTTGTTCCCATATGCAACACACTAGTAAATTTCTCAGTAGTAGAATTTCTGAATGCGGTAGTGATTTGCAACCTCAGGCGTGTTGGCATACTATCCTAGTTAAGAATCTCTGAGTTAGGAAATCTGGTATTTGGATTTAGTGGTAAATTTTTCTGGCCAAGGAAACAAAACAATACCAATAAAACCTTATGTTTCTCCTGTTGTCACACTTATAATACTGAATTCTGTTTCTCTTGAGGTGGAGACCTCTCTATCCCTAGTTTGGTGTAGTGCCTGCTTTACGGTAGCTTCTCAGTGAATATTTAATTTTGTGTTGGTGGAAGGGTTTTAGTAGGGGAGTGACTTGGTCACATTTTCATTTATTAAAGCCCATTCTTCCAACAGAGAGTCATATTTGTTTAGATATTCCTATACATGTCTTTGTAGACAGTAGACAGAGTCCATCTTAGAAAAGAAAAGTATCCAACCACATACTCCAAATCATATTCGATACAGCTAGCTTTCTAGATTCACCTCACAAAATAACTCCAACATGATGGTTCTATACTCCCATGTAGTTTTGGTCATGAAACCAAGTGGTCATGTCAGAGAAATCATTCCTCTCCCTTGATATAGTATTAGCTAAAGCCTTACTTAAGGGAAGCCTCTGAGGATTCTTTTTTTAATTAAAAAACTTTTTTGGAATAGCCAGCATATTCATGTGATTCAGAATTCAAAAGGGGTTTATGGTGAAAAATCTCCCCTTCTTACCTATCTCCTCGCCAACCAGTGCCTCTTGCTAGAGGCAACCAGTGTTAAGTTCCTCTGTATCCTTGGGGCTGGCCCCGTGGCCGAGTGGTTAAGTTCGCGGGCTTCGCTGCAGGCGGCCCAGTGTTTCATTGGTTCGAATCCTAGGCGTGGACATGGCGCTGCTCATCAAGCCACGCTGAGGCAGCATCCCACATGCCACAACTAGAAGGACCCACAACGAAGAATACACAACTATGTACTGGGGGGCTTTGGGGAGAAAAAGGAAAAAAAGAAAATCTTTAAAAAAAAAAAAAGTTCCTCTGTATCCTTCCAGATAGATACTATACTAGTATAAGCAAATACATAAATTTCCTACCTCCTTTTTATTACAGATATAAATACACTGAAAAGATTGTTTTTAATGGCTACATACTGTTCCATTGTGTGGATAGTCGTCAGTTTTTTAAACCTGTTCTTTACTGATGAGACCTAAGTGATTCTGATTTTTTGCTATTAAAACAGTGCTACAATGAAAACCCTTTTTATTTAGTCATTTCACATATTTTTTGGCAGATGTGCAAGATAAATTCTTAGAATAGAATTAGTAGGTTAAAAGGAAATGTGATTTTGTTATTTTGACATTGCCAAATTATTCCTCATAGAGTTTATGCTCATTTGTACTCTCATCTGTAATGTATGAATGCCTGTTTACCCACAACCTCTATGACAGTTTGTTATTGAACTTTCGGATATTTGCTGCTTTGATGAGTTAAAAAAATGATGTCCCAAAGTAGTCAATACTTCTGTGTGGATAAGATTCTGAAGTTTTATTTTTAATCATGATACTATGTTTGTTTAGCGATGTGACATTGGAGATGCTTCCAGGGGAAGTTTGTCTTCATATGCTTATATCCTTATGGTGCTGTACTTTCTGCAGCAGCGAAAACCACCAGTTATCCCAGTTCTACAAGAGGTAAGTGTTTAAGACAACTGTTTAGGAGTCTCTTGTGGCAATCGATCTAAACACAGTAGATCTTGCTCAGTTCATGAGATCGTGAAGGATTTTCCATCATGGACATCCTAAGTTTTATTCTTCCATTAATGGTATAATCAAACTGAACCTTTTTGAAAAGTCTGTTATGGGAGAATATAGACTACCAAAAGAATATTAACTGACAGAACTATTGAGTATCTTTTGCAACATTTTTATATAGTCTTAGAATGCTGCAGATGATTATGAAATTCTTGTAGCCATCCACGAGCTCATATAGTTTCTCAGATGCAAATACGTAAGTTTCTTCTCTTCAGTGTATTCTCCCTCCTCTTGCCTGGCAATGAAGTTTGATTTATTTCTGTGTGTATTTCAGTTAACTTTGTGAATTTGGTTGAGAGAAAACCCAAGGAAATTCTTCCTCATCTCTGTGAGGTCATGGTAGTTAAGCATGAGAATGTACATCAAATGAAACAGATTATACTCATATTCACTCAGATTTGGTGACTCATAGGGTCTCGTTTTGTGGCCAATTTATACTGTCTGAAATAAGTACGAAGGAGTTCTTAATCATCCATCTGTTCCTCCTCATTCCTGGCACAATGTGAATTTGCAAGCATTAGGGAGGATCCAGTTATCATTTCTTAGAAAGGTGGTTATTTTGAGATAGGAGAGAAGCATCAGAATTGTTTGGAAAATTACACATTCTGATTTCACATAAACTTTGATAGTCATGACAAAGAAGAAAATCACAAAATAGCAAGCCATGTGGTGGGTGTCATATGGCCTTAGTAAGTGTTAAAAAGTTCTAATGAATTCCATGTGGTTTTAGCAGTATTTCCTTCCCTCTTTTAAACAAACAGTGAAAGAGAAATAAAATTTTAAATATTCTTTCCTAACAGAAAATTTTGAGTTGCTGAATCTATGTTGAGTGATGTGTTTTTTAATAATGTTGTTTACTGTAGGATAGTTAAAATTTAGCATGAATTAATTAGGCCTGCCAAGGCCAAGATCATTCTCTGTATTAGTCTAATTGTTGTTAGGCTTTGAATTTGGGGATCTTATGCATAGTTACCCCAGTAATATCATAGCAGCCATTTGCCACTTTGACAGAATACTATGCTTAACCAAAATAGTTACCATGATTAACCAAAATGCAGTACAAATTTTGTTTTCCTGGTGGTTCGTGTTCTCATTATATTACCCATGGATGAGGAGCCATTGAGGCAGCATGATGTAATGGAAAGAGCAGGGCATGATTTTGGAGCCAGAGATAAGTAGTCTGAATACTAATTCTGTCATTGTGGCCTTCAGCAAGCTGCCTGACTTCCACTAGTCTGAGATTCATCCTCAGTAAAACTGTAATAATAGTAGTAGTAGTTCATTGTTGAATAAGGAACAGAGACATTGAATGCCTTTGAATATCGTAGGTGCTAAAGAGGTATTCATAAATGATGGTTGCTATTATTGTTATTTTTATTGTTGTTATCATTAGCAGCATTATTATTATTGGAAAAATGTAGGTAGGATTGCCATAGCCAACTTCAAGAACTCTCCCATTATCTGCTTAACAGACAGTGATTGATGAAATGAGAGACAGTCCATGGAATGTTTTCCATCATAATGAGCTCTGATTGTGGGGGGCTTTGTGATACATATGAACTGATGATGTGTGGATTTTTGCTTCTGGCGTTTTTTGCTTGTCATATGGGACCCCATTTTCCATTGCTCTGGCACCATTTATGTATTGGTCATTGGCATCGATCAACTTTTAAGGGTAAGGATATGTTTAATGAAGCTGATGATCTTTGACTCCATTTGTAATTGCATCTAGACTTTAAGTGGGTAATGAATAAGGCTCTGCTAAGAATGTTTTTCCTGTTCAACAGTGAAAGTTCTTTAGGTCAAAAGGAGTTTTCCTGAGCAGAGTGATTTTGCTGTGTTGCAGCAGATCATCATAAGTAAAAGTAGATTTTCACATAAAATTAATACTAAAAGAAGATTAAGGCATGTTATTCACTCTTGATATCGTGAGCTTTTATGTTTTTAGCTGATATCAGCTTAAAAATTGCAATTGAATGGATCAACCTTGAGGACGTTATGCTGAGTGAAATAAACCTGTCATAAAAGGATAAATACTGTTTGATTCCACTTATATGAGATACCTAGGGTAGTCAAATTCAGAGACAGAAAGTAGAATGGGGTTGCCAGGGGCTGGGGGGAGAGAGGAAATGGGGAATTATTGTTTAATAGGTTCAGAGTTTCATTTTTGCAAGATGAAAAGAATTCTGTGGATGGATAGTGGTGATGCTAGCACAGTAGTGTGAATGTACTTAATGCCACGGAAGTGTTCACTTAGGAATAATTAAAATGGTAAATCTTATGTTATGTGTATCTTACCATAACTAACAAATTGCAATTTAAATATAGCATTAGACATTAGAATATTACAATAAAGTAAGAAAGTAAATATGGGAATGTACCTGGTCACTCCTTGTACAAATGTGATTGACTTGTTTGGTGAGATTTTAGAGGGAAGACTGCGTGCTTGAGTGGAGAATGATTGGTGTTGAGAGAAAGAGAAGAGAGAAGAGAAAAACAGAAAGAATATGCGTGTGTGTGTGTAAAGAGAGAGGGATAGCATTAGTCCTTCTAAGGGCTGAAACAGAGTGGAAAGTTAGGCACCGTGAAACATGAGAGTTCATAAAAACCGACAAAGCAGTGATTAGACACCCTTTAAGGCCCACAGGTCCACTTTACTGTGTTATCAGCCAACATAGATGGGTTCAGATCATGGTTGTTACTCATGAGTAAGAATTCTTTTAAAAAGAATCAAGATCTAAAGAGGAAGTTTGTATTATTTCCATGTAATACTAATAATAACATCCTAATCTATGAGGGTAAATGTTATACTTTGGCTTCTTTAAAACCTTTATTTCTTTTTTGAGGGCAAGATCCCATGTCTTTTGTTTTAGATATTAATACCTATAATTGTCAGGCTCTCCCTTTTTTGTTTTATGAAATGTTGGTACTTTTGCTAGATGATTTTTGGTAACGGTATTTGTTTAAGTTATATGTAAATATAAAAAACAACTTATTAGCTTAAGTTCCTAGAAACTTGATCTTTATGTAAACACGCTTACAGAGTAAATATATTCATTCAACAAACACATATTATGTTTTCTCTATATGGCAGGCTTTGATGTAGAGAATTTTGGCTCCAGAGATAAGTTATAGTCGTTACCCGCAAGGAACTTAAACCTGAGAGTGAAATTAGAGGGGTCAGACGTATAGTTAGTTTTGTAAATCACTGTCCCATCTAAAGTGGAAGAGGAGCTGGGGACCACCTTATCTAGTGGTTTTAAAGTATTTTCTGGTAAGCTCTAGAAGCTCATTACTGTATCCGTGAGGAGTGGGTTAAGGAAAAGACGATATTTTTTCTCTACTCAACCTTTTATCAGAGTGTCTCTGCTTTTATCAGTTTTACATATTGAGCTTCAAGAAAGGTTCTATTTTAGGAAAGGGTTCTATAGCTTAAAATAAAAATAAAATTTTAAAACAACTGACCTAATCTAATCTCTCATTTTTGTTGGGAAAACTGAGGATATAGGAGGATAATTTTCTTGTCCAGAATTGCTACTCGGCAGGACTAAGACTAGAAATGAGGTCTGCTGACTCTAAACCTGTTGCAAAGCATCTTTCTTAAAACTTCTATAGAAAATAAGTCTCAAAATTGCTTGTAGAGGTGAGTTGTGCCTATAGAGTCATCTTATGGGATACTTTTCTTCTGGTAAAGTAGCATTATTCTCTCCCCCGCTCCTTCCTTAGGACGGTGAATTGTTATTCATAACTAATAATGAAGATTTTAACAATCTTTATCAAGATGTTAGAGAAAGCTACCTAGTTTTCTATTTAAAAAAATCAGTGTCCCAGGGCTTTTCAGCCTCAGATGATGCAGATAACTGATTAAAGGTACTGGAGTTCTTCTCCTAAACACACAGTTCCATTAATTTCTTTTGGGTACACAATCAATAGGTATTATCTATTATGTAATAATCTCTACATCTGTGATCTTTTGATGAAAATGCTAGGGTTTTTTTTTTTTTAGTTTTACTTCATTAATCTCGGGCTGAATGTCTTTTGATAGGCCAAATAGGTAACATCAGATAACATCAAATGTGTCATTTGGAGAATCTGATGCTCTTAAAGTAATCCTTTCCCAGCTTTGATCTTTCAGATACATTTTATTCATTCATAACTTGGTATCACATTATATCATCCTAACGTGTTCCTTTTGGAAGAAGTATTTTAGTATGTCTTTTATAGGTAAATTCTAAAATGATATGAGACTTAAAAGGAGTGGATGACCTGAAATCTAATAATAAAATTAATTTTTTATGCAGATCTTTGATGGAAAACAGATTCCACAGAGAATGGTTGATGGATGGAATGCTTTTTTCTTTGATAAAACAGAAGAACTGGTAACTTTTTCATAGTCTTTATGTTATAGAATGCTCACTGATACATGTTAGAATTTGCGTAATTTAATTTTTCTTGTATTTGGGGTTCATGTTTTGGATGGGTATAGACATCTCTCTCTCTCTTTTTTTCTCATTTGTAGAAAAAACGTTTACCTTCACTTGGAAAGAATACAGAAACCTTAGGAGAGCTTTGGTTGGGACTGCTTCGCTTCTATACTGAAGAGTTTGATTTCAAGGAATATGTAATTAGCATTCGGCAGAAAAAGCTGTTGACAACTTTTGAGAAGCAGTGGACATCCAAATGCATTGCTATTGAAGGTAATCATTTAGCTGATAGTAATTCAGGAACAAAACAAAACAAAAAGCCAGAATTTCGTTTGGCCAAGGACATTGAGGGGAAAATTGAAACATGTTAGAATTTGGAAGATTATTCCTCTTGATTTTTGTTAGTTTCCATTCTTTAATCTATAATTTTAAAAGAATAATTTGCTGACTTACTCTCAATTACGTAGTATTAGACTCTTGTTAAGTGTATTTTATGTTACAATAAACATAATTCTTAATTAAAAAATAAAATGTTTCTTTTCTAGACCCTTTTGACTTGAATCATAACCTTGGTGCTGGAGTTTCTAGAAAAAGTAAGTTTTAAATATAGAAATCTGCTTTTAAAGGTCTTACATGTTAAGATCTGCATCTTAATTGTTTTCTTCTTTCTTCCATAGTGACCAATTTCATCATGAAGGCATTTATCAACGGAAGGAAACTTTTTGGTACCCCCTTTTATCCACTCATTGGCAGAGAAGCTGTAAGTTTATGTAATTTGAATTCTGAATCTTTTCTTAGAAAACTTTCTTTTTTACAGTACAAGAAGCCTAATTCTATTTTCAAGTTGGTGTTAGGAACAGGGAAAGAGATGGTTATAGCTCCCTGTATTTTTTCTTATTACACTTATTATACTTCATTATGAGATATCCATTTGCTAAATTTTGTTTCTCTCTTTAAATTATAGCTCCCCCATTAGACTGTAGCTCCATGAGGATAGAGTCCATGTCCATAAGGTTCATCGTTGTATCTCTAGTGCCTATCGTAGTGTCTGGCACATAGGATGTACCAAATATGCATTTGTTGAATCAATGAGGGTGGATAGCCAAGACTCAGAATCCTTAAATTTTGAAATTGAGTTCTACCCACTGACCCTCTTTCATCTCTGGAATTCTTGATGAAAATATAAACAGAGAGGACAATACCGAAGAAATACTTTATTGTTTGCTGAGGCTCTGCTCTAATTTTGGTGTAGCCCTAGCAAGCTGAATTAGCTGTCATGAAACTGAGAGCCTTTCTTTTGCTTGAACTAGGTGGCATAGTGTCCCCCATTACTCTTGGTCTCACTCTGGCTTTTGCTTGTTATCTAATGGGAGGAGGTCTCAGTTTAACTAAGAAAGAAACTTCCAAGAGAGGAAATCTCAAGAGAGAAACCATCTTTCTGCTATTGCATAATGAATATCCTTGATCTTGTTCAGTCCAGTTGTAGCACTCGTTCTTTGGGGTGTGGCATAAAAAAAGCCGAGAGAAATTTAGAGCTTTTTTCCCTTGGAGTACTGGTTCTCAGATATTTTTGATTGTCCTGGCCTCTTAGAGGGATGATAATAATTATAATGGAGACAAATAAAACAACAGTAAAATTTGAAACAACAGAAAAGTTGTGTAAGAAGAAAATAACGAACAAAAGGAAAATCCAACAATAATTTTACTAACGTATTAACTTTTTTCTAAATTAGTTAATTTTTTTGAGGAAGATTAGCCCTGAGCTAACATCTACTGCCAATCCTCCTCTCTTTGCTGAGGAAGGCTGGCCCTGAGCTAACATCCGTGCCCATCTTAAAAAAAAAAAGAGAGAAGCATAGTCAGATCAAAACAAATGTGATGATTCACTGATAAAGCATTCTACCTGAAATTGTGGGAATTCCAACTATTAATGTGTATACGTGCACATGTTCAGTATGAATCTAGCAGTTTCATGCAGTCAGGCTTTTTAGTAGAATACTAGAGTATTAATAAATTGGAAATGTGCAATTTTAGTTTGGTTTTTAAGATTGGCACCTGAGCTAACATCTGTTGCCAATCTTTTTTTTCTTTTTTCTTCCCCCCAAAGCCCCCCAGTACATAGTTGTATATTCTAATTGTGAGTACCTCTCATTGTGCTATGTGGGACACCACCTCAGCATGGCCTGAAGAGTGGTGCCATGTCTGCTCCCAGGATCCGAACTGGTGATACTCTGGGGTGCCGAAGTGGAGTGCCTGAACTTAACCACTCAGCCATGGGGCTGGCCCCCAATTTTAGTTTATGAATACAAAATTTTAGTAATTCTTAATAACTCAGTATAAGGAGTCCTGATAGGATATCAAAGTCCTTGATCTTGAATATCATTTGGTATAAGAGCCAAACATTAGTTTGGGGCCTATGAGTCGGCTAACCATTTTTTGATCCACTTTATTCTGTTATAAAAGACCAATAAACAGTTTTCTGTAGCTTGCTTATACCAGTTTAACTATTCTCCTCATATGGACATTTAGATTGTTTTCATTACATCGGTGTTACACCTGATATTGTAGAAAATATCCTTGTTAAATAGTCTTTCATGCTTATACTTTCCACAGTAAAGATTATTCTTTCAATACATATTTATTGAATTCCTACTTTGCACGTATTTCTCTGCTGTGTACGGGCATACCTCAGAGATATTGCAGGTTCAGTTCCAGACAACTGCAATAAAGCAAATATTGCAATAAAGCGAGTCACATGAATTCTTTCATTTCCCAGGGCATGTAAAAGTTATATTTATACTGTACTGTAGTCTACTAAGTTTACAATAGAATATGTCTAAAGAAACAATGCAGATACCTTAATTAAAAAATACTTTATTGCTAAAATGTGCTAACCATCATCTAGCCTTCAGTGGAGTCTTGCCTCCATGTTGATGGCTGCTGACTGATCAGGGTTTGCTGAAGGCAGGACGGCTGCGGCAATTTCTTGAAATAAGACAGCAGTGAAGTCTGCCGCATCTATTGACTCTTCCTTTCACAAACGATTTCTCTATGGCATGCGATGCTGTTTGATAACATTTTACCCACAGTAGAACTTCTTTCAGATTCAGAGTCAGTCTTCTCAAACCCTGCTGCTCCTTTTATCAACTAAGTTCATGTAATATTCTAAATCCTTTGTTGTCATTTCAACAGTCTTCACCGCATCTTCACCAGGAGTAGATTCTATCTCAAAGCCACTTTGCTCATCCATAAGAAGCAACTCCTCATCCATTACAGTTTTATCGTGAGATTGCTGCAATTCAGTCACATCGGCAGGGTCCACTTCCAATTCTAGTTCTCTTGCTATTTCCACCACATTTGCAGTTGCTTCTTCCACTGAAGCCTTGAACCCCTCAAAGTCATCCATGAGGGTTGGAATCAACTTCTTCCAAACTCCTGTTAATGCTGATATTTTTGTCCTTTTCCCATGAATCATGCCATGTTCTTAATGGTATCTAGAATAGTGAATCCTTACCAAAAGGTTTTCAGTTTTGCCCACATCATCAGAGGAATCACTATCTGTGACAGCTATTTATAGCCTTATGAAATGTATTTCTTTTTTTTTTTTTAAAGATTTTATTTTTTTCCTTTTTCTCCCTAAAGCCCCACGGTGCAGAGCTGTATATTCTTAGTTGTGGGTCCTTCTAGTTGTGGCATGTGGGACACTGACTCAGCGTGGCTTGATGAGTGGTGCCATGTCCATGCCCAGGATTCGAACCGACGAAACACTGGGCCCCCTGCAGTGGAGCGCGCGAACTTAACCACTCGGCCATGGGGCCGGCCCCACGAAGTGTATTTCTTAAATAATTAGACTTGAAAGTCAGAATTACTCCTTAATCTGTGGGTTGCAGAACGGATGTTGTGTTAGCAGACATGAAAGCGTCTCCATCAGAGCTCTTGGGTGACCAGGTACATTGTTAATGAGCAGCAATAATTTGAAATGAATCCTTTTTTCTGAGCAGTAGTTCTCAAGTGTGGGCTTAAAATATTCAGTAAACCATGTTATAAACAGATATGTCCGGGTTTTGTTGTTCCATTCATAGAGCACAGGCAGAGTAGGGTTAACATCATTCTTTTTTTGTATGTGTGACGAAGACTGGCCCTGAGCTAGCATTTGTTGCCAATCTTCCTCTTTTTGCTTGAGGAAGATTGTTGCCGAGCTAAGATCTGTGCCAAACCTCCTCTATTTTATGTAGGGTGGTGCCACGGTGTGGCTTGACGAGCAGTGCTGGGTCTGTGCCCAGGATCCGAACCTGCAAACCCTGGGCCACTGAAGTAGAACACACGAACTTAACCACTCCGCCACTAGGCTGGCCCCAATTTAGTGACATTCTTAAGGGCCTATAGGATTTTTTGGAATGATAAATGACCATTGGCTTCACCTTACAGTCACCAGCTGCATTGGCTCTTAACAAGAGAGTCAGCCTCTCCTTTGAAGCTTTGAAACCAGGGAATGACTTCTCCTCTCTAGGTACAAAAGTCCTAGATGGCATCTTCCAACATATGGCTGTTCTGGCTACATTGAAAATTGTTGTTTAGTGTAGCCACCTTCATTAATTACCTTAGCTAGATCTCCTGGATGACATGCTGCAGCTTCTACATCAGCACTTGCTGCTTCACCTGCACTTTTATGTTATAGACACAACTGCTTTCCTTAGACTTCATGATCTAACCTTTGCTGGCTTCTAACTTTTCTCCTGCAGCTTCCTCGCCTCTCTCAGCCTTCCTAGAATTGAAGAGACTTAGGGCCTTTCTCTGGATTAGGCTTTAGCTTAAGGGAATGTTGTGACTTGTTTGATCTTCTATCCAGATCACTGCAACTTTCTCCATATCAGCAATAAGGCTGTTTCACTTTCTCATCATTCATGTTCACTGGTGTGGCACTTTTAATTTCCTTCAAGAACTTTTCCTTTGCATGATAATTTGGCTAACTGGTGCAAGAAGCCTAGCTTCAGCCTGTCTTGGCTTTTGGCCTGCCTTCCTCACTTAGCTTAATCATTTCTAGCTTTTGATTTACAGTGAGAGATGTGTGACTCTTTCTTCACTTGAACACTTAGAGGCCCTTGTAGGTTTATTAATTGGCCTAATTTTAACATTGTTGTGTCTCAGGGAATAGGAAGGCTTGAGAAGAGGGAGGGAGATGGTGGAATAGCCGGTCATTGGAGTAGTTAGAACACACACATTTGTCGATTAAGCTCATTCTTATATGGGAGTGGTTCATGGCGCCCCAAAACAATTAACATAGTAACATTAAAGGTCACTGATCACAGATCATCATCACAAGTATAATAATAATGAAATGGTTTGAAATATTGCACCAATTGCCAAAATGTGACATAGAGACATGAAGCGGGCAAATGCTGTTGGAAAAATGCCTTCGATAGACTTGCTTGACACAGAGTTGCCACAAACGTTCAATTTGTGAAAAATGTAGTATCTCTGAAGCACAATATAATGAGATATGCCTGTACTGGGATTATAACAACATACAAAATAGATGTGTTTCTTTCCCTTAGACTCTAATGGAAATGAAGCCAAATGTATGTTTTATTTTTTCACCTTTGTTCCTCACTCAAATATTCCCCCCTCTCCTATACTTCTACATCATTAAGTTCTCTGATATATCGACCCATATTCTCCAAATCTATCAGCTATCTTCTGTCTTCATTTTTCTCCCCATTTAACTTAGCTTCCCTGGTCTACTCTCTGGCATATGCTTTACATTCATTTGCACCACTGTCCTTCTTTTGTACTCTTGTGTGTTCAACCTTACATGAATTCACCTATCCACCATCTATCTATGTTTGGGTAGCAGAACACTAGTGGAAAAAAGTCATCAAGCTAGGCAGTTTTTTTTTTTTTTTTTTTTTTAAAGATTTTATTTTTTCATTTTTCTCCCCAAAGCCCCCCGGTACATAGTTGTGTATTCTTCGTTGTGGGTTCTTCTAGTTGTGGCATGTGGGACGCTGCCTCAGCGTGGTCTGACGAGCAGTGCCATGTCCGCGCCCAGGATTCGAACTAACGAAACACTGGGCCGCCTGCAGCGGAGCGCGCGAACTTAACCACTCGGCCACGGGGCCAGCCCCCCAAGCTAGGCAGTTTTATTTATATAGTACAACTATAAATTAATTGTTCATCATCCTCAACTGGACTTTCATTGCTATCTGATGTTCTTAGTACATTTCTTTAGTTACCTATATTTCCCATTCAGTAAGAACTATTTCATATTTTATTTATTTTACTCAAAATTTAATACCCATTGCTTTTTATCCTACCTTTCACCTCTCCCCTTCTTACTCTTAGATATTTTCTCTCTGAGACAAAAATGGTATCAGATTAGTATTCCTTCAACTTTCTACTACCAGATCTACTAGTCTACCTGCATTTGAAGATCTGTCTTCTTTATCAACCTAGTCCTTCCATATGCACTCTAGATCTGTTTGTTATTCCCTTTACCTTGAAGCTTCAACCTCTTCATCTGTGAAAAAGCCTTTTCAGAGATGAAATACATAAAATGTAATTGCAGTTTAGCATTAACAGATGAACATTGCCATCAATTTTAATGATAGGGAATGCTAACTTTGAACCCCAATTAAGCGACTTGTTTTCCCCAGAAAGAGTTCATTTCTTCTACTTAGTAAACTTATATTACAAAAAAATTATACTCATTTATCATTAGTAGTATATTTTTAAATTCTTCAATAAAAATTCTGTGGAAATTTGCTTGCTTTCCTGTTATATAAGTACCTACATAATACCTTCAATTTTGCCACAGTACCTAAAATATTTACTATCTGGCTCTTTACAGAAAAAGTTTGCTGACCCCAAGTCTAGGCCAGCTTAACTGGGATGGTGGGTTGGAGAAAAGTGTATTAAAGAGATACTCAGGAATAGAATGGATACATTCTTGGTGATTAATTAGAGGTGATGGGTGAAGGAGAACAAGTTTGGGATGATTCTGGGTTTCTGCCTTAAGTAACTGGGTGAATTGAGAAAGATCTTCATTTTGTCCTAGCAGAAAATATGATGATGAAAATTTTAATTAGTTACATTGGTTTCATTAATAGTAAGTGAAGAATTCTCTCTCTTATCCTTTTTTAAAAAACAGCTTTATTTAGATACGATTCACATACTTTACAGTTCACCAACATAAAGTGAGCAATTCAGTGGTTTTCAGTACCTTTGCAGAATTGTGCAGCAGTTGCCAAAATCTAATTCTAGAACATTTCATCCTCTCTTAAGGAAACCCCTCCATCCCCATTAGCAGTCAATTCCCATTCCTTTTCTCTCCCACTCCCAACCACTAATCTACTTCTTGTCTCTGTAGATTTGTCTATGGTAGACATTTTATATAAATGGAATCATAGAATATATAGCCTCTTTGTGACTGTCTTCTTTCATTTAATGTAATGTTTTCAGGGTTTGTTCTTGTTGTGGCATATATCAGTACTTCATTCCTTTTTATGGGTGAACAGTATTCCATTGTATGGATAAATTGTATTTATCCATTCATCAGTTGTTGGACATTTGGTTTGTTTCTACTTTTTGGCTATTACAAGTAATGCTGCTATGAATATTTATGTACAAATTTTTGTATGGATGTATCTTTTCCTTTCTTTTGGGTATATACCTAACAGTGGAATTGCTGGGTCATTTTGATGAATTTGTGTTTAACTTTCTGAGGAGCTGCCAAACTGTTTTCTAAAGCAGCTGTGCCATTATATGTTCCCACCGGCAGTATTTTTGTGGGTTCCAGTTTTTCCACATCCTCACTAATGCTTGTTCTTCTCTGTCGTCATTTTGTTTTTATAATTGTAGCCATCCTAGTGAGTATGTCTTATACTTTTATCCCTGACTTTATATAGGTTTGAAGAGTGCTAAATGGACATGTTCTCTTGCTTCTCGAGATGAAACTCGTCTTTGGATAGTGCAAACCTGAATTAAAGCTTAGAAAGATAAACAAGGTGCTAGGAGAAAGCAAAAATGAGTTTGGTTCTTCTAAGACTTGGGAAAATGATTTGCTTCTTATTGGTTCCCTACCTTTTCTTTAAGTATACCCTACTTTATATAATAAATATTATATGCTCTTGAAATGTTGTATGTGAATATAATCTTATATAAACCAGAAGATTGCTTAATTTACATAGAGCTCTTATGTAAAGAGAATAATTCCTTTCCAGAAGTAGACTGGCTTAGCAGAAGGCATGAGCTTTGTAGTCAGACAGACTTAGCTTTAAATCCTTTATCTGCTGTTTACCAGCTTTTTTATTATGGGCAAACAACTTGAACTCTCTAAGCCTCAGTTTTCTTATCTATAAAATGAGGATGAAATAGTATCTGTTTTATTGAGGTATTATGCAAAGATGCTATAAATGAATGAGAAAATAACATGGATGTAAAGTGGTTAGTACTGTTAGCAACTGTGATATTGATGATAATTCTGAATCTTATTTTCATATCATGGTTTTAGTTGTAGTGAAATATTTGTTGATGTTTATTTCCTTTTTTTTTCAAAATCACTGTTGCATTTTGGTCCCCTTTTTATTTGGATTCAGAAGTTTATAGTGATTTTTTATAGTAAAGTTTTATTTTCTCCCCAGGAGTACTTCTTCGATTCCAGAGTACTAACAGATGGAGAACTGGCTCCCAATGATCGATGTTGCCGTGTGTGTGGAAAAATAGGCCACTACATGAAAGACTGCCCTAAGAGGAGAAGGTTGGCAAATGATTATATATCAACATTACAGGGAAAATAAATGTCAGGCTAATTGTAGCTATAATTATGTTCACATATGTTTTAGTGAGAAAGTTCAGAACTTTAAATTGGAACTTAGGTAAATGTATATTTGTGTGGAATTTTGTAATAGAGATATCTTTGTGGTATAGTCGTGTCTCATAGTGTTCATTTGTTCATTTACTCATTAGTTCACTCAGGTTTTTTTTTTTTAATTGAAGAAGCATTTATTGACATCTACTGTGTGCTGGGAACTGTGCTAGGAGCCAGGGGAAAAAAATGACCAAGACGTGGGGTTCTTGCTGAGGACCTCACAGTCATGCAAACAAATAATTAAAATATGATTAACTGAATCTTTGAGGTATGTGCTGTGAGGTATACTTACATGATATATTCTTTGAGAAATATACATCCTATATAACCTCTGAAAATATATCTATGACATGTGTTCTCCTCTATTCTATATACTATGTTTAACAGGCCAGAAAAAAATCCCTTCTTTTGTCAAGTCTTGCCTAATATAAAGAGCTTAGAAGTTTTTAGACAGAACAAACTCGTAGTTTCTGTCACTGCTATTTACTGACTGTAAAATTTAGGCAAGACACTTATGCTCTCTAAGCCTCAGTTTCTTCCTCTGTAAAACAGAGATAATAAATACCAACCTCTAAGGATTGTTACAAGGTTAAAATTGACTTTAAAAATTTTTTTAAATTTAATATTGTATTATAAAACTACTGAAATACCCAGTTTCTGCCATATGTGTAGGTGTGCTATAAATGTGAGTTCCTTTGCCTTCTAAAAGATGCATGAAACAATGGGCATGTTAGTCCCTTTACTGTGAGACTTTTGTATAGTTTAGTTTGTTCTGTGGCTCACTCAGTTTACAAGTCCCTAGCCCCACATTATTGGTATCAGCAGTTTATTATTTAGACTAAAGAAGAAAGACAGTGAAGAAGAGAAGGAGGGGAATGAAGAGGAGAAAGACTCCCGAGACCTTCTTGACCCCCGAGACCTCCACGACACTCGCGACTTTAGAGACCCCAGAGACCTCAGATGTTTCATATGTGGAGATGCGGGACATGTACGAAGGGAATGCCCAGAAGTCAAGCTGGCCCGTCAGAGGAATAGCAGTGTGGCAGGTAAATAGAAAAGGCCAAAAATAGTTTCTGGTAGTAATAAAGTCATTTATGTTGTTGTCATTCTAAGGACCCTGATTCCTTTCTTGTCCAAACCTAGCTGTGTGATTTTGGACCTTATCATTCCTTTCTTTCTTTCTTTTTTTTTTGAGGAAGATTAGCCCTGAGCTAACGTCCGCTGCCAATCCTCCTCTTTTTGCTGAGGAAAACTGGCCCTGAGCTAACATTCATGCCCATCTTCCTCTGCTTTATATGTGGGATGCCTACCACAGCTGGCTTGCCAAGTGGTGCCATGTCCGTACCCGGGATCCAAACCAGCAAACCCCGGGCCGCCAAAGCGGAACGTGCGAACTTAACTGCTGTGCCACCGAGCTGGTCCCTTGGACCTTATAATTTCTTAAAGAGAGAAAATTTAGACAGTCAAGCTTTTACTTTGAACAGTACTTGGTCTTAGCAGTCTGTTGTATTCAAGCAACTCTCTGAGTCACACTCTTTATTTCTCTCAATATCAAAAGTTAATAGAAGTTAACTTTTTTCTCCCAAAAGTTAATGAGAGGATTTTTTTTTCTGGGAATATCTAAGAGAAATTTTATCTCTTTTCACTGCTGTTATGACAGGGAAATCTCTTCCTGTTATGTTTCATAAGGAATTTTAAGAATTAGAAATCCACATGAGAGTTTATTGAAAGAAAAAAATACGTTTTAGAAGTGTTGATTTCCAGTTGTTCAGATTCTTCTTGCAGAAGGTATTTTTTTGTATAAATACCTTTTCCTCTTTAAAAAGGCAGTATGTCGTTTGTTCTTGTTTCCAGGACCAGTGTAATTTTTTTAATGACCCTCAGGATTGAAAAATGGCTTTAAAAAAAAATTAGTTGTTACGAGTCCTTCACTATAATCATAAGTTAAAAGTCCAAGTTTATAAGATCTTAGAGATTTGAGACTCTTTTACAGAAGAAGGGAATTTATTGATTGTTGTTTCTCTGCTATTTTCTTTATCTGTTGATTTTCTTTCTGATGTCTTCTCTTAGCAGCCCAGCTGGTCCGCAACCTTGTAAATGCCCAACAGGTGGCTGGTTCAGCCCAGCAGCAGGGTGATCAGTCTGTAAGGACTAGACAGTCCTCAGAATGTGTAAGTACGCTGCCTGCAAATAGTTTAATCTTGGCAGGAAGATAGCACTATCTTTGGTTGGTGATAGGGTTGATCTTTCAGACTGGCAAATGCAATCTTCCGGATTACACAGTGCTTTGTAGAGGTGCCATTGCTAGGCACATAAGATAGAATGAGCATTACTTTTGGAGTAATGTAGATCTGGGCAAGCCACTTAACTTCAGAGAGGCTCCATCCTTTTTGTGAAATAAGATAACTGCCTAATAAGGTTGTTGCTTGGATTGAAATAAGGTAATGACTTTGAGGTTTTAGGCTTTGCCTTGTGGAGTTTATCAGTACCATTAATAAAAATAGACACAAAAATTCAAATGTATTTTGGGTTTGGTACTGTTAAGGCAATTATGTGCATGGTATTTCACTTCCTTGAAACTTCTCATAGCTGATATATAGTGAAATATACCCTGTAAAAGACAGAGTATCAAATTAGAATTCAGATTCACAAGTTTCATATTAATTTTTCTGAGTTTCTCTTAACTTTTTTTCTAAATCTGTACTCATCTTGTACTTCTTAAATTAATTAGTTCATTATTAGTTGAATGCTTACTCTAAGCCTGACACTGTGCTTCAGTGCATCACACTTATCAAATTTAATCCTTTGGCCATGTGAAGAGGTAGGTATTAGTGTGATCAAACTTTACAAATTGGGAAGCCGAGAGTAAGAGAAATTAAAAGATTCAAACCCAGGTCTGTGTAGCTTCAAAGCTATTATAACTATTAAACATGCTATATCTGATGTGATCTATGTTTTCGAAAAAATTCTTCAAGCATTTGAAGAACAGTAGTAGGGAAAGTCTTAGAAAAACATTTAGGAGCCCACCAACCCCACCCCAAACATTTGTATACCTACTTTGGGCCTGGACATTTTCATAAATGTTATGTAACAACAGTAATCTTAGCTAACATTTGTTGAATGCTATGTGCTATGTGTGCATTCTTTCTTCCTGTTTCTTATTATAAAATATTTTTAAAATATTGAAAAAGTATAGAAAATAATGAACATTCACATACTACTGCCAGGTTTTAACAGTTCTTAACATATTATTATTTTGATTTATTAAAAAATTACCCACAATTGACAACACTTATACATTCCTCTTGGATGCTGTTCCTGTCTTAAACCTTCCTGCCATTCCTTCTTGCTACTAAAATGTGCTGCTATCCTGAATTTGGTGTTTGTATTTTCCATTTGTATTGTGTAGTTACTCTTCACAAAAACCTATGAGGTAGATTCTGTTATTATTTATACTTTATAAATAAAAGTAAAAATAAGTATAAAGTATACATTTTTCTACTTAACTGAGGTTTAAGTTTCTTGCCTGAGGTCAGCAGACACTTGGAACCAGTACTTGAACCCTTGGGCTCTGTCTCCAAAACTTATGTTCTAACCGCGTTCTTATACTGCCCCCAGCTTTCATCCTCTGCTTCTGGCACTCACTTTTCCCTCACCTGAGATTTGAGTAAGGTTCTGTCTAATGCACATTGGTATTCTGATGTCTCACACAGCACTTGAACCTCAGCATGTCCAGAATGTAGCTTATATTTCTCTCCAACTCCCTAAACATGCCTCTTCTTCCTGTGTTCTCCATCCCATTGGATGATCTCACTATCCATCTAGTTTCCAGACTACTCCCTCTCCCTCAACCCCCACATCGAGTCACCAAGTCTTGTTTCTACCTGTAAAAAATAGCTCACAGCCACTTGCTTCCCTCTGTTCTTATGTTTCCCTAGCCTAAGCTACCATCGTCTCAGACTACTGTGTTATAGCAGCCTTTTAATCAATCTTTCTCTTTCTTTTTTTAATATTCTCTATTTCATTCCTATTAAGCCAGAATAATTTTTCTAAAATGCAGATTGATCATGTTCCTGACCTGTTTAAACCCTTCAGTGGTTTCCCAGTGCCCTCAGGATGGAGTCTAAACTACAAGCCTATAGGACCCTTCATCGTCTTACCCCTAATTAGTTTTTCAGCTTCAGATCTGCCATTCCCCTGCCCTTGTACTCCATTAATATTAAACTTCTTTGAGATTCCAATTACAGACGGTCCCTGACTTATGATGGTTTGACTTACAATTTTTTGATTTTACAGTGATGTAAAAGTGATACACATTCAATAGAAACTGTTTTTCGAATTTTGAATTTTGATCTTTTCCCAAGCTAGTGATATGCCGTACAATACCCTCTTGTGATGCTGGGCAGCAGCAGTGAGCCACAGCTCCCAGTCAGCCATGTGATCACGAGGGTAAACAACTGATACAGTTAGAACTGTTTTGTACCTGTATGACCATTTTGTTTTTCACTTTCAGTACAGTATTCAGTCAATTACATGAGATATTCAACATTTTGTTCTAAAATAGGCTTTGTGTTAGATGATTTTGCCCAACTGTAGACTAATGTAAGTCCGAGCATTTTTAAGGTAGGCTAGGCTAAGCTATGATGTTTGGTGGGTTAGGTGTATTAAATGCATTTTCAACTTAATGATATTTTTGACTTATGATGGGTTTAATGGGACATAACCCCATTGTAAGTCAAGGGAAATCTGTACTTAAAGCCATGTGTCTTTGTGTCTGTGGACATTCAATCATGTTGTTCCCTCTGCCTTAAAACACTCTTCCCTTCCCTTTATCCCTTGCCTCTTTTATCAGACTGGTCTCTGTTTACCCTTGAGTCTCAGCTTAAAGTCACTTCTTCTGGGAATCTGTCCTTGATTTCTACTTTCTTTCGTCTTACCTTCCCTGCTTCTCCCAAAGTGGGTTCAGGTATTCCTGCTCTGGCATATCATTATACAGTCATGCGGTACTTAACAGTGGAGATAGCTTCTGAGAAATGTGTTCTTAGGTGATTTCATCATTGTGCAAACATCAGAGTGTCCTGAAGGGGAACAAAATTTGCCACCGCAAAGTGTATCTCTTTAACATGAGGATTATTTTTTTTGTTTGTTTGGTTTTTTTTTTGTTTTTTTTTTTTTGTTTTGGAGGAAGATTAGCCCTCAGCTAACTACTGCCAGTCCTCCTCTTTTTGCTAAGGAAGCCTGGCTCTGAGCTAACATCCGTGCCCATCTTCCTCTAGTTTATACGTGGGACGCCTACCACAGCATGGCTGCCAAGCAGTGCCATGTCCGCACCCGGGATCCGAACCAGCGAACCCCGGGCCGCCGAGAAGCGGAACGTGCGAACTTAACCGCTGCGCCACCGGGCCGGCCCCTAGGCTGATTATTTTTAAGGAAAAAAAAGACTCAAAGTTTTTCTTGTTACATTTCCCTTAACTGCCTAAAAGAATTCAGATTAAAAACATGTGTCTCAGGAAGCAAGCTATCACCTTAGCATAACATGAACTACGTGGTAGATAGGGAGTAAAAGAGAAAAGTCTGTCTGTTGGACTCTCTCTGTGATCTTCTGTTTCTGTGTGGCCAAACATTTGTTTTCCACTTGTTTGCTCCTTTTCACCAATCTGTGAATTGTCTGCCTTTCCTCTGAGGTCCTTGACTCTCCCTACCCCCAGCATCTTTTTTGTTTAGCTAAGGATGGTATTTAACGTGAGGGCTTTGGCCATTTTTGGCGAGTTATTTGGTTTTCCTAGGTTTCTCCCATGTGTACGTGTTATCAAACTTTTGTTTGTTTTTCTCCTGTTAATCTGTCTCATATCAATTTAATTCTTAGGTCAGCTAGAAGAACCTAGAAGGGTAAAGGAAAGTTTCCTCTCCTACAGTACTTTATGCAAACCTAGATGGTATAGCCTACTACACACCTAGACTATATAATACTAATCTTATGGGACCATTGTTGTATATGTAGTTCGTTGTTGACTGAGGTGTCATTATGTGGTACATGACTGTACACTGTACATTATACATTCTTTATCATAGTAATCATTGTACTTTATTGTGATCGCTTATGTAATCTTTATCTGCTTCTCCTCCTTTTCCCCATAAACTTTAAGCTCTATGAGGGTGTATATGTTAGTATTGTATTTTTAATACCTAGAATAATGCTCAGTATATAATTAACTCTCAGTAAATACTTGTTGAGGGACTGAATGAAAGTGACTGTGAGATGTGTGGATGTAAGTTTCTAGTTACAATTGGAGATGTGGGTTCTACATAATGGGAATGATGTCTAGGCTCTCTCTTCTTTAGACAGTGGAAGGCTTATGAGGTAGTACCAATGTGAGAGAGAGTTTGAGAACTTTGGGAAAAATTCTACCTTTATGTAAAATGAGGTTCTATTATTACTTGTTATTATGCACATCACAGGGTTCTGTTTATAATGTTGTAATAGAATAACTCCATAATTTTGCATTTTGATAATCTCTGCTTTTATAAAATTAAAGTGTTTGTAAACTAATTTTAAAATGTATCTTTTTTTTCTCTGCAGTCTGATTCACCATCTTATTCTCCTCAGCCCCAGCCATTTCCACAGAGCTCTTCTCAGTCAGCTTCCATTACCCAGCCTCCATCCCAGCCAGGATCCCAACCTAAGCTTGGCCCCCCTCAGCAGGGAGCCCAGACTCCCCATCAAGTTCAGATGCCTATGTATAACTTTCCCCAGTCTCCACCAGCTCAGTATTCTCCCATGCACAATATGGGATTGTTGCCAATGCATCCCCTCCAGATCCCTGCCCCATCCTGGCCTATCCATGGCCCAGTGATCCACTCTGCACCAGGCAGTGCCCCCAGCAATATTGGTCTGAATGATCCCAGCATCATCTTTGCACAACCTGCTGCCAGACCTGTGGCGATCCCTAGCTCGTCTCATGATGGACACTGGCCTCGTACTGTGACTCCAAATTCCCTGGTGAACAATGGTACAGTGGGGAATTCGGGTAACATTTCCTTTTCTTCTTTTGTATCTGTCTGTAGAAAGGATGGGTGATTGGAATTATTGGTTCAACCTGGGGAAATAAATATGAGGAAAAGGATGGCAGGCAATATTTGTGAAGGAGCAGTATAGGATTAGATAAAAGCAAAGGTATGGTCTGTGGATTCAGACTGCCTGGATTTGAAACCTGGCTCTGTCATTTATAATGTGGCATTGGGCAGTTGCGTAATCTCTTTGTGCATTGGTTTCATCTGTAAAATAGGAGTATTAATAGCATCTAACTCATGGGGATGTTGTGAATATTAAATGAGGTTATATAAATATGTTAGTTATTATTTTGTTATTAATTTAAATTTTCACTGCAATCCTGCTCAGTGTAGACATTGTTAGCACTTACTTTATAGTTGAGGAAATTGAAGGGTTAAGTAATTTAACTATCATGCTGTCATAATTAATCATAGTAGATCCAAGATTTAAACTAATTTCCTTCTTCAAAACCTGTGCCTCTTTGTGCTAGACTCTTACTATCTCCCAGTAAGGAGCAGTTCTTTAAAAAGAAAAAGATATTTGTAGTACTTTGTAACATTAAGAAATAATAGTTTTTTCTGAGATCTTAGTAATACATTTTCATTGTATATCGTTTGAAAAAGAACAAGAAGATCATCCATACTCTCAATTCCTAGACATAACTGCTAAGTAGTATTTTGGTGTATTACCATCCAGTCATTTTTTTATATTTGCATATTTAAAAATAGTTGACATGTGCCATAAATTTAGTTTTATATCCAGCTTTTTAGTGATAATTATTTTTATTTTAAAAACTCTGTTATGGAAATTTTGAAATGTACACAAAAGGTGAGAGTAAGGTATAATGAACCCCCCTATTGCGCATCTTGATAACTGTTAGTTATCAGTATTTGCTGTTCTTTTATCTGACCCCTTCACCCCATTTGAAGAAAAATTTGACTCGAGTATTTAATCAAATCTCAGACATTGGATCAGATTCGTTTATAAACTCGGTTTGTATCTCTTGAGAAAAATCACACTACCGTTACGATACCCAGTATTATCTAATACCCAGTCCTTGTTCTTTTTTTCCTTTTTCTCTAAAATTAGTGTTGATTTATTTGAATGAAGATTCAAAGAAAGCCCATATATTATATGTGGTTGTTATATCTCTGAATTTGTAGTAGTTCCCCTGTACTATTTTTTCCCCCGATATTATCTACTTATTGAAGAAAGATTCTGGTGTTGGCTGATTATATCTTTGTGGCATTGTTTAACACATGCTTCTGTCCCTGCAATTCCTCTAAACTGGTAGTTAGGTCCAGGGACTAGATTAGATTCAGGTTCTTCTTGTTGGCAAGAATCTTACTTCTTGGTTGGTCCTGTATGTTTCCTGTTCTCTCGCTTCAGAGGGAACTTACTGTCTGATTGTTCCTCTTTTAATGACTTAAGATTGATCAGTGAGTTAGATGATGCTACCCTTTCTATCCATTATAAAGTTCCTCATTAATTTTTACGTAATAGTTTTAGCTGCCATTGATAATTATTGCTGATGTCCATTATTTCACTAGGGTTTGTAAAATGGTGATTTTTTATTTACTATTTGTGATTCTTCTATAAAGAAGAACTTTTCTTTATTAACTACTTGGTTATCCTGAAATATAGTTTGTATAGGAAATGTAGACTGGAAGTTTGATTCTTTCCCTTTATCAATTTTGAAAAGAATTTTAGTGATTATTTTAAGCAGAAGTATGCTATTCCTTAGAGCACTATGATGGGGGAGGTATTTCTGACCTCTTTTGGAAAAATACAGATAATGCATATTGCTGAGCAGAAATTCCAGAATGTGGTAACTCATTTAGATTTCCAAGATCAAAGGATATATGGCGTACATGGCCATTCTAATGTGGCCTCTGCTTCTCTCCTTCAACAAATATTTATTGTATATGTCTATGCCATGCACCATGATAGTCACTGAATTATATAACCATGAAGATAGAGCTGGTGTCTTGACCTTTGATATATTGGCTCAGTTTTTCCAGGTTTATGTCCTCCCTCTCCCACCTCTGGTTGATCTCTGTCTCAGCCTTGATATACTAAGTAGCATCCCACAAACACAACGTACTGCCCCATACCCCTGACTGCTTGCCTAAGTTGTTCCCTCTGCCTGGAATGTCCTCTCCATTACCTGTCCTGCTCACTCTCACCTCCTTCTGCTTTGCTCTTAAACTTGGCTCACTCATCCTCCGTTTTAAAATTAGATCACTTTCTTCATGAAGCCTTTAACTCTTGCTGATTCCTCCAATTGTGTTAGATGTTCCTCCATGTTTCCTTGATATCCATATCATAACATGTTTTAATGTGTTGAAATTTCCTGTTTACTTGTCTGCATAACCCATTAGACTGAACTTTTAGAGGCTATGAATTATTTCTTGTCTGTCATTGTTTCCCTAGTGTCCAGTATAGTGCCTGATGTATGGTAGATACGTTAGTTGTATAATACATTATTATTATGTAATAAACTATTGCTCAGTAAATATTTATTATTCGTTGGATGGGTGTACAAGTATTAGTTAATATTACAGCTGAAGTTACTATTATGTTAAAAACGGAGGGACTGGATTGGGATGTATTAAAATAATAATAGTAGTTGTATTAGCGTAGGAGATTGTATGAGTTTTTTTTCCTGTTTTTGAAATTATCTTCAATGAGGTTATATTATTTCTATTATGAAAATATTTGGTTTTGGAAAATGCCCAGGGGAGATTGGAATATACTCTAAAAAAATACCATTTTATGTTAATACATCATTTCTCAATTGGTTAGGACCTCAATATGTATACCTAGTCTTGTTTACTTTTTGTAAACAGTGAGCCCTGCAGCTTCAGCTCTTAGTTGTAACTTGACTTTATGAACTTGCAGTGAACCAACTGCTTTGTTTTCCTGGTTAACTCCTTGGAAGACTGAGCTTGTAAGAATGCGGCTAGTATGGATTTTAGTTTTCTTTTTTTTTTTTTTGAGGAAGATTAGCCCTGAGCTAACTGCTGCCAATCCTCCTCTTTTTGCTGAGGAAGACTGGCCCTGAGCTAACATCCGTGCACATCTTCCTCTACTTTATATGTGGGACGCCTACCACAGCATGGCTTGCCAAGCGGTGCTGTGTCTGCACCCGGGTTCCGAACCGGCGAAGCCTGGGCCGCAGAGAAGCGAAATGTGCGAACTTAACCCCTGCACCACTGGGCTAGCCCCTTGGATTTTAGTTTTCTTGCTCCCTCCTCCTTCCTATCCTGTACCTCCTAATTTGAATTCCTGCTAGGAAATTTAGTTAATAAGGGCAGTGTTTTTCAAATTATTTCCTGCCACATTGTGACCCTGAATGAGAAAATACAACAAAAATGATCTAGAAGATTCAAGGGATAGTGCACTTTGAAAGATGTACTTAAAGGCACATCTTAAAGGAAAGTAGGTTGGTGGGGATGGTTTGCATAGAAATAATAGGACTCATTTTTTTTGAGTTTAGACTTATTTGCCAGAACTTGTAAGCCACTTTTTTTTTTTTAATTCCTTAAAGATTGGCACATGAGCTAGCATCTGTTGCCAATCTTTTTTTTCTTCATTCTTCTCCTCAAAGCCCTCCAGTACATAGTTGTATATTATAGTTGTGAGTGCCTCTGTTTGTGCTATGTGGGATGCCGCCTCAGCATGGCCTGATGAGCGGTGCCGAGTCCGCGTCCAGGATCTGAACTGGCGAAACCCTGGGCCACCGAAGCAGAGCGTGTGAACTTAACCACTCGGCCATGGGGCCAGCCCCTGCAAGCCGTTTTATTTTTGTTATCTAATTTAATCCTTACAACAACCTGAGGTTCATAATTGAACCCTGGTAATTTTTGGAACTGGGATTTGAACTTAGACTTGTTTTGCTCCACAGCCAAAGTTCTCAACCATTACACCACAATACCTCAGCTTCTAATAAGATCTCCTTCTAGGCCAAGATATAATTGATTCTAGAATAGTTGGCATTGTCTTTAGGGTAAAATGTATGCTCCTTAATGATGCACTAAGGTTCTTTGAAATATAGATCCTACCTACCTGTCCAGCCTTTTCTCTTACCACTTCCTCCCTTCACTCTTGTTTCTAATTGCCAGTTGTTTTGCAGCTTCCCAAATTTGCTGTACTTTCCTGCCCCCTGGCTTTTGTACATGCTATTCCTTCTGTCTAAAATGCCCTCTTACCCTATTATGTTAGGAAAACCTTTTCTATTCTTGAACAACTGGGTGAGCATCCTCTTTAGAACACCTTCAACTGATCTGTTATAGTAATCACCACATCATTGTGTATGTCTTCTTTATAAATAATTTGAGCACGGTTACAGTGTTTGATTCTTTAAAAAATTTTTTTGTGGGGGCCAGTGCCATGGCTGAGTGGTTGAGTTTGCACACTGTGCTTTGGCGGCCTGGGGTTTCGCTGGTTCAGATCCTGGGGGCGGACATGGCTCCGCTCATCAAGCCATGCTGAGGTGGCATCCCACATGCCACAACTAGAAGGACCCACAACTAAAAACATACAATGATGTACCGGGGGGCTGTGGGAGAAAAAGGAAAAATAAAACCTAAGAAAAAAATCAATAAATAAAAAATTTTGGTATCCTCTGATGTAACATAGCTCTTGGCCAGTGGGAGGTACTCAATAAATCTTTGTGGAATGCAGGAATATTTGAATGAACAAACCGATGTTTTAAAATATGTTTTTCTTTTCTTGTTGAAATGCAGAGCCAGGCTTTCCAGGACTGAATCCTCCAATTCCTTGGGAACATGCACCACGTCCCCATTTCCCTCTTGTCCCAGCTTCGTGGCCTTATGGTTTGCATCAAAACTTCATGCATCAGGGAAATGCCAGATTTCAGCCCAACAAACCTTTCTATACTCAAGGTACCATTGCTTACAAATTTGTTAACAGGCTGGGTGGGTTTTGTTCTGGGACAAGGAACTTTTGTAAAGGCCAGGATCTGAGGTTGAAAATTCGTGCATTTAGTACACACTTACTGAGAGAGCATGCAGAGTGTCAACTATGCTAGGTGCTTATTGATTAAGCAAGAGTTAAATAAAACCACTACACTTAATGCATATTTTATTAGGAGAGCCAAGCATGTAAAATAGACAAAAATAGGAGCATAGAGGAGTCAGTTAATGTTGCTCTAGTAGAGACAGCAGGATATGGACAACAGGGATCAAATCTTTTGACATTTGAAATAGATCTTGAAAGAGATACAAGATTTTTTTTCCCAGAGATTTTCTAGAGATTAGAGGGAAGGAGTATTCTTAGCTAAGGGAATATTTGCAAAGTCACTGAGTTTTGCTTGGCATAATGAGGGAAAAAGAAAAGAGAAAATAATAGGACTAGAGGAGGAAGTAAATTAGGGCAAGATGTGTAGGTGATGAGACTAGAGGAGGTAGGCTGACACCATACTCAGTTTAGTAAGCAGTAGGGATCTAAAGAACTTTTTGAGTCAGGTAGTGACATAGTCAAATTCGTTTAGTAAAATTAAGACTGGAGTGACATTAGGGATTCGTTATATTCTGTTGGTGCTGATGTACCAATAATGGCTTTGATCTAAGTAATGAATATCTAAGAAATGAACTAAGGAGAATTCTAAGGAACTTGCAGCATTTTATCTAGCTTACTTGCCTCAAGGATATCTCAGTTCTAATTGGGAATGTCTGAGTGTGGCCTTCAGTTCTTGGTTAACCTAGGGGTTCAAAAAACTGGAGTCTGAGTTGTTATACTTAAACTAGGAGTTCCAGAAATTAAAGAAAGGCACTCAGGAAATGTTGACTAAATGAAATAATTTTAAGGGGAAGCCTGAGGTATGTATGAGTCTCAGGCTTAATACATTTAAGCTTTCCTAAACTATCCATGCACTTCTGGGTCATCCCTGTATTATAAAGTGGCAGAACCTGGTTATGGCTGGTTTCTTCTTGTGAGCAAAGAACTAGGGCTGATGGTAGTTGTTATTGCTCATATAAGCCATTTTAGGTGGGAAGAGTCTGAGATTCCTCCCTGGTGGGTTTGTTCCCCTTGATTCCTCCCCTCCACATCTCTCATTTGTCTCCTCTCTTTACCCGCTTTTCCCTTCCCTTCCCCTCCCCCCAAATGTTTTGATATGCTTGGTCTCCTCTTTACTACATAAATAGAAAAAAAGAGAACTAGCTACAGGTTAATTCTAAGGGGTTATCAGGTAAATAGGCACAAGCCTTTCAGTTTCCTGTCTGTGTTGTGTCCAACAGACAGATGTGCCACCCGTCGGTGTAGAGAGCGTTGTCCCCACCCACCAAGAGGAAACGTGTCGGAGTAATGCGAGTCCATTTTCTTTCAGCTGGTCTACCGATGCACAGCACCCAGCCAATCCTCCTGTCTCAAGGGTATCCGTACCTCAATGTCAGTTACATTCAGCAGAAAAAGTGACATTTATTGGAAAGCAAAACAAATCAGGTCCTGATTTAAAATTTTAACACGTTTAGATAGCTTATTTAAATCCTAAGACTGTTTTTAAAGACTGTATTATTTGTATATAAATATGAACTATAGTTTTTACTAGTATCACCTAATTGAGTGATACAAATTTCATCTATTTTATTACCCTATTTTTAAGGGAATTTTATGTTTTGTTTAATCTTGATGACTTGTATAAAGAGAGAATTTAAAAAATTACATTCTTTATTTTCTATTAGCTGTATTCATACTTTGGTTTCTTCAGACTTTATATATATTGTTCTTAAGAATTAGGAAAGACTTTCATGTGTTTTAAATTTGTCACTTCTATTCTTTACAGAACCTTGTAGTGCCAAAAACTTTTTAAAAGGTAAAAAAAAAATAATAAAATAAGACTACAACATGAAGATTCAGAATTTTTTCTTCTACATTCTTGTATATTGAAAATATTCAACTTGAACAGAAAGTTGCTTTTGTCTGTATTTGAAGTAATTCTATTTTAAGTTAATAAATCTTTTTGATAAGAGTCACATTTGGTTAATTCATCTGGTTGTTTAGATGATGGAAATAAAATGTAACAATTCAGAGACTTGGTTTACTCTCAGTGAATATAATATTCTAAATCACAGACTTAGTTTTAGAGATCTAAGGATCTTGTAATGTCCTTTATTTTATTGGCTCTTCACAACACTCACATGAAGTTGATAGAAGCAGATGCTATGTCCGTTTTCTCATTGAGAAAACTGGGGTGCAAAACGATAAAATGAATTCCAAAGGCAGCACACTTACATGTGGAAATAGAATTGAAACAGATCATTTGAAAGAGAGTTTTTAAACATGGATACTGGCAGAGTGGAGGGAAGATAATTCTTATTTACTAAGGAACTAGTATGTGCCAGGCTATCCATTCTGAGTCCTGTACTACTTACTACCTGTAAAGCACTTACCAGGGTGGTGTTTACCAATAACGCTTGTGTCGGTAGTTATAGTTGGAATTCAAAGCTGTGTTGGTGGTAGATTTTTTAGCACTTTTGGTACTGTACATTCTGTTGAGGTCATTTTTGTCTAAACTCCTCAATTAAAGAGATTTGCCAGAGGTTTTAGGCTAAATGATGCTATAGATTTACTTAGAACTCAGAATAAGTAAATACAAGTGTATTTTAAGGACAGTGTATTATCTTTGTTCTGCTTCCTCAGATATGCATTACTTAAATAGGAGACTACCTGGGCTTTTGCCGTATTTTCCAACATGGAAGATGCTTGAAATCTATTGCAGGAGATTGAGGGCTTTCCTGCCATGTTTACAGCCCTGAAAAGGTATTTATTAAATGTTAAAATCAGGTGTATTTGCTGTTAGTTTTTCATATTAAAGCTTCAGCATCCCTCAGATTCCTACTAAGTGGTGGAGTTAGCTCATTTGTTTTGTTAAGATACCTGGCTTAACATATGCTTTTGTGTTAAAATATGACTTGGAGAATTCAAGATTTAGTGTTCAAGTATTTCATCTCCTTTCAGATCTTGGAGAACAGGTGATGAGGGGTACAGGGTGTTCATTTTACTCTTACACTTTTGTATATATTTGAAATTTTCATTAAAAAGAAAATCTGGGGGCTGGCCTGGTAGTGTAGTGGTTAAGTTTGCGTGCTCTGCTTCAGTGGCCTGGGGTTTGCCGGTTTGGATCCCAGGTGCGACCTAGCACTGCTTATCAAGCCATGCTATGGCAGGCCTCCCACATATCAAATAGAGGAAGAGGGGCAGAGATGTTAGCTCAGGGCCAGTCTTCCTAAAAAAAAAAAAAAAAAGAGGAAAATCTGCAACAAGAGACTGCCTCCAGCTCAGCCTTCCTTCCTAAGGAAAGGCAGTTTATCACCTGGCAAAGGTATTTATGGAGCAAAACACCACAGTAACCTAGCTTTTACTTATATGGCAGTGTTATATGTAGTAATTTTCGGCATCTCACGTATCCCTCCTTCAGCAGTTGCCAGTGTTCAATAGCTGGTGCTCCAAGTTGAAAAATAGACTACTCTTACTTTGTAATTATACAGTAGTAGCTCAGTTTTATAAGTTTGTAAACTTTTCAAATAAGTTGTAAACTTAAAAAGGTTTTGATTATGAATTGAAATTCATTGTAGAGCAATTGAAAAGTGCAAAAAAATGATCAATCTTAAGCATAGAGAACATACACATTAAGATCATATTGTTTTGAAATGTTTTGTGTAATGTTTAATGACATGGAGAAATTAATATTTTTCCTTGCCATTAAAGATTATTCAAAAATACAAATATTAATGATGTACTAAATAATTTATTTGTTCAGTCCCCTACAGATGGACATTTTTGTTGTTTCCAGTTTTTCTCATATATAAAAAATATATGTAAAATGAAGATGGGGTAAAGCTATATTTGTGTATATTTAATTATTCTATTATGGTGAATTCCTATAAATGGGATTATTAGGTTTTTAAAAAGGATAAAAATTCTAAGGTTTCTGCTATGTACTGCGAAATAGCCCTCCAGAAAAGTGGTTAACAATTTGCACTCCCAACAAACAATATATACAGTGTGCTGGTAAGCTTATTAAAAAGGTTTAAACTCCAAAACAACTCAATTTTCCTTATAAAGGATAATTTAATTGTGTTTATTAAAAAAGAAAAGGAGCATTAAATAAAAGAATAAAGTATTTAAAAAAATCACTCAAAAGTCCATCAACCAGAAACAAATACTATTAGTAGCTGGTAAACTTCATTCATTCCAACCATTTCTCTTAAATACACAAGGTTTTACAAAAGTAGGCTCATATGCTATATTTAGTAAATATATCAGAATAATTTTATTTGGATTTAACAGAAGGAAAATAATGTGAAAGTGAAGAAATGCTCAACTTAAACATTTTTTTCTTTAAGAGAATCTGGTTCTAAAAGATTCCTCCTAAAATAGAGGACAATTAGAGAAAACATTGAAGAGGCTGAAGACATTTTTGTCTATGCATGTATGAAGACATTTTTTCATGTATGTTTTAATTAGAGACAGTATATGACTCCTCTTATGAAAAATGAAACCATCTCACCTCAGAGTTCCTCTACTTCCTGGTTGTATTATTCCTATATAGACAATTTTCAAATATTTAATTTTAATCCTATAATTATTTCCCATTATTTTTATTTAAAGTTCCTAAAATGTTTACTACCACTCTTTTTACTGCTTCCTTTTCTCTAAGTCCTTAGTTTGATTCATTTCTTGTCAGATGAATTTCGTTATGAGACAGTTTTTTCCCAAGTGATTGTATACTTTTAAGCTCTTGCATATTTGAGAATGTTTGTTCTGTTTATTTTTTGCTGAGGAAGATTCACCCTGAACTAACATCTGTTGCCAATCTTCCTCTTTTTGTATGTGAGCTGCTGCCACAGCATGGCTACTGACGAGTGATGTAGGTCCATGCCCCAGGAACCAAACCTGCTGAAGTGGAGGGTCCCCAACTTAACCACTAGGCCACCAGAGCTGGCCCTCCCTTTATATTTTAAAGACAACTTTGGCTGAGTATATAATTCCTGGCAACTTTATTTTCTTCAGACTTTGGAGCCTTTTGCTTCACTGCCTTATAAAGTTTGCTCTAAGATCTGAGACCATCTTGATCTTTTCCCTCACTATACATGACTTTATTTCTCTGCTTGGATGCCCATATAATTCTTTATTTCTTAAATTCATCAGGATATTTCTTGAGAGATTGCTTTTTATTACTTCAGGAAATTTTTATTTGAAATTTTTAGTGTGATTTGCTCAATTCTCTTCATCAGGAATGTCAATTATGCATATGCAGGGCTTTGTTTTCACATATTTTATTATCTCTGTGGCTTTTATTATTTTCCGTTTTTTATTTCTTCCAGCCTGTTCTCTCTATGCCTTTTGTTTAGTTTATATTTTGTTTTCTTTTTTGAGCAAGATTAGCCCTGAGCTAACTGCTGCCAATCCTCCTCTTTTTGCTAAGGAAGACTGGCCCTGAGCTAATATCTGTGCCCATCTTGTTCTACTTTATATGTGGGACGCCTACCATGGCATGGTGTGCCAAGCAGCGCCATGTCCGCATCCAGGATTTGAACTGGTGAAGCCCGGGCTGCTGAAGCAGAACGTGCGCACTTAACCGCTGCACCACTGGGCCAGCCCCGTATTTTTTTTTCTGATAAGGCTTTCATTTCTTCAGTTTTTTCAAATCTTCATTTAAGTTCTGCCAAACTTATTTTCCATCTTTTAATCTCTTCTTTGAACTGGTATACTTGCATTTTTTAAGAGATCACTTTATCTGCTGTGTCTTTTTTGAGTCTGAGAACTTGTTACTTTAACCTTTTTTAGGGGAGTGGCCAGCATTTGTGATCATTCTTTTCTGATTAATACTTAAAGTTAGGTCAGTCTACTGAAAATAACGGAAAGAGGCAAGGGGAAATGAGCTTTAAGTTGGGTGGTTATGTTGGAAGCCTCTCACCAAAACTATTGTGTATTTCTTTTGCCCCTGAGAACACATCTCCCTTCATTTCTTAGTATTTAAGAGGTCATTGTGCCCTATCACAAAGCTTTTAAGGCAGTATAATCCAAATTGTGAGAAGTGAAATCAATTTAGTGGTTTGCACCCAATATCAAAAACTACATAGAGGGGAGATCTCTTCAAGATGGTGGCGTAAGCAGACTCTGAGCTCATCTCCTCCCACGAACACAACCAGGTTACAACTATTTTTGGAAAAACTACCCTGGATAGAAAATTGAAAACTGGATAAAAAGAACCCTCACAACAAGGGACAGTCCTAAGGCAGAAGATGCAGAAATTCCTTCTGGAGAGAAAAAAAAGCCACCTTCAAGAGAAGCAGAGGACCAGGTGAACTTGTGGGGCATTGGTGGAGAGGTGGGGACCTCTGCAGTGGGGAGTCAGGGTATGCTCCACGGGATTGGGAAGTGTGCATGGACCAGGACTGTGTTGATGGTGTGTGTTGGGGGTGAGGCTTATCAGTGGCAGAAGACCTGTGCTTCACAAATAGCCATAAAAAGGATCAGCCCCACCTTCTAAAACCTGAAACAAGTGAGCGCTCCCATGCTTAGAGCCAGCCCCACTCAGCTGCCTCCTAAGAGAACTGACAACAACCTTGTAGGCATGAGGCCTATCGCAACTGTAAACCCCTGAGCCTAGCAACCAGCACCCAATTAAGAGGAAAACTGCAACAGGAGTGTGTTGTTAGACCTTGTAGCCAACGGTGCTGAGGCTCGCCAAAACCAGATTTACAAACAGCTGGCCAGGGAATGAAAGACTAGACTCCCTGCGTACCTGCAGTGGGAGCAACCCTGCCATAGCAGGACACAAGTAGCCCACAAAGGCGTCACTCCTGGGTCATTTGGACTGGTGATGAGAGGGAAGCACACTGCTGGGCCTCAAAAGGTATCTCTTAAATAAGGCCACTTCTCCAAGATCAGGAGACATAGCTGACTCACCTAATACATGGATATAAGCATAGTGAAAGAGGCATAATGAGGAGACAAGGGAATACATTCTAAGAAAGTGAACAGGACAAAACCCCAGAAAAAGGACTCAATGAAAGAGAAATAAGCAACCTACCCAACAAAGAGTTCAAACAAAAACTCGTAAGGATGCTCACAGATATTGGGAGGAGACTGGATGAACACAGTGAGCTCATCAACAAAGAATTGGAAAATATAAAAAAGAACCAATCAGAAATGAAGAATACAATACTGAAAATGAAAAATTCACTAGAGGGACTCAATAGCAGAATAGAGGCTACAGAACAGGTCATTGAGCTAGACAAAAGATTAGAGGAAATCACCCAAGGTGAACAGAAAAAAGAAAAAAGACAGAGTAAGAACAGTCTAAGGGAATGCGGGGACAATATCAAGCACACTAACATTCATATTATAGGTGTCCCAGAAGGAGAAGAGAGAGACAAAGGGGCAGAAAATTTATTTGAAGAAATAATGGCTGAAAATTTTCCTAACCTAAGGAAGGAAATAGACATCCAAGTACAAGAAGCACAGAGAGCTCCAAACAAGAGAAGCCGCAAGAGGCCCACACCAAGACACATTATAATTAAAATGTCCAAAATTAAAGAGAGAATCCTAAAAGCAGCAAGAGAAAGGCAACAAGTCACATAGAAAGCAAAGCCCATAAGGCTATCTATCAGTGGACTTCTCAGCCAAAACCCTACAGGTGAGAAGAGAATGGCATGACGTATTTAAAGTGCTAAAAGGAAAAAACCTACAGCCAAGAATACTCTATCCATCAAGGTTGTCATTCAGAATGGAAGGAGAGAGAAAGGGCCTCCTAGACAGGCAAAAATTAAAGGAGTTTATCACCAAGAAGCCAGGTCTACAAGAAATGCTGAAGGGACTTATTTAAGTGGGAAAGTGATGACCACAAATAGGAATAAAAAATTATAAAAAAAACCAAATCACTGGTAAAGCTAAAAATATGGTAAAGGTAGCAGATCAACCACCTGTGAAGATAATATGAAGGTTAAAAGACAAAAGTACTAAAATTGTCTATTTGAATGATAAGAGCGTAATGAATAGACACACAAAACAAGAGATTGGATATGATTTCAAAAGCAAAATGTGGGAGATGGGGAGTGAAAAAGAGCTTTTAGAAAGATAAAAACAAGAAACACTCACATAGCAATGGAGATTGGATTGGTGGTTACCATAGGGGAAGGGGGGAGGACAAAAGGGGTGATTAGGCTCACATGTGAGGTGATGGACTATTTTTTGTGGTGAACATGATGTAATCTACACAGAATTTGAAATATACTACAATGTACATCTGAAAGCTATACAATGTTATAATCCAATGTTACTGCAATAAAAAAAACTATATAGGAAATATTAGGGTGCATTTTGCCTAAGGAATAAGAATTTTTTCCTGAAATTTGTTTCAGTACAGAACATATACTGTGTATACAAAGGTAAGCTGTAAAAATGTTTCTTAATATAGGCCAAAGTCAAAAGTTCCAAGGCCTAATACAGTAAGCTAGCACATAGATGACAGAAATGGCCCTTCAGCAAAGTTCATCCTTAAGCTCTGTCTCCTTTGCAATTCTTTATCAAAACACTCTCAAGAGTGGTGGTCAACATGTCCCACTATCATCTCTGTACTAATGAAAGAATGGGGACAATATACTTCCTACTATAGGTTGGCTGTGCTGCCCCAATTTGGTCCAGATTTCACCATATGCCTAAATAAGTAGGCTTTAAGTTTCTAGTTTGGGAGGTTTATTTCTGTTTAAATTGTTGGGGGTTTTTGCATCAGTTTTTAAGTTTGTGTTTTAAAGTATACTTTAAAAATAAAAATATACTTTTAAAATAAAAATTCTATTTTTAAAACAACTTTTTTAAGATTGGCACCTGAGCTAACATCTGTTTCCAATATATATATTTTTTCCTCCTTCTTCTTCTCAAAGCCCCCCCCCCGCCCCCCCCCAGTACATAGTTGTATATTCTTAGTTGCAGGTCCTTCGAGTTGTGCTATGTGGGAGGCCACCTCAGCATGGCTTCATGAGTGGTGTTAGGTCCACGCCCAGGATCCAAACTGGGAAAACCCCTGGGCCACTGAAGCAGAGTGCACGAACCTAACCACTTGGCCATGGGGCCAGCCCCTATTTTATTTTATTTTAACAATATATTGGTTGACGACTAGGTTGGTCCATAGGTCATCTTAGCCAGAAGACATTTCTTTCCACCTGCATCACTGTGGCAAAGAAACAACTGCTAGGACTCTCTAACAGATGTAGATAGAGGTGCTTATATTTAATTTTTAAAGGCACTCCTATATATAGTTGTATGGTAACCCATAATAGCTCTTATGGACTTTTATTAGCTCAAGTATTATCAGGAGAGGAATCACTGAAGAGTATGAAATCTCAAATATGATCCCAGAATGCCTTAATATTGCTCCAGAAGTCCTTGAGTTTAATAGCAGGCAATAGGATGTTTATCCTATGACCAGATATGGCTTCCCAAGAAACTGGATCCTGTGAGGCAGTTGGGTCTTCCCAATTCTTGCTGGAACCAGAGGTGTGGGAAGTCATTCAATCTCTTTTCCCTTTTTAAAGGAGGAAAGGTAAGTACAGGTAGATGGAAATCTAGCAAAGATCCCATCACCCTCTTGCTGATCAACGCCCATGGACAGTTTTCAGTCTTGTTTTGCTTCTGCATCCTTGGCCCCTTGGCTGCTTTAACTTACTCTTTGCTAATGCTCCTACCTTTCTGAATGGTCCATTTCAGTTTTCAGTCAGTGATTGCACTTCTTCCTCTCCCTAGTGTTGGTGTTGCCTGTGATTCTCTTGTTGGCTTTTCCTACACACAAACACGTACACACACACACTCCTTGGGCAGTCTTCATTTAATTCTACATCTTCCGCGATTACCTAATCATTATCAATTCAGGGCTAGATCATTATTCTCAACTCCAGTCCCTATTTCCAACTGTCTGGGCTTTATCTAGATATACCATAGCTGTCTCAAATTAAACTTCAAGTTAAACTGATGCATCGTTTTTATTACCACCACAACTTTTAATACCTGCCCCCCTCTAAAACCTCCTCTCTTCTTGCTGTATTTTCTGGCTTTGTGAATGGCACTACTGTCCAGTAATTCAGGTCAAAACTCTAAGTGGTATAGATACTTTTCTCTCCTTCAAACCTTTTCAGTCTTTTTGCCCTAATACTACTGACTCGACTTGGACAATGTCAATGCCTGTAGGATAAAGGCTGAGCACCTTAACCTGTAATTTAAGGCTTGTGGGGAAGAAGAAACAATACTAAATAAGAATGCCATGTAAAAGGCATTCCAAGTTTTTTTTGTTGAACTGTTCAATGCAACTGGACTAAATGATCCAGAAGAAGCCTTACATTTAAATGTCTTCTTTTCTTACAAAGCTGCTGCTAAGCAGTCAGTTTTCATCTTTATTACCACTTGCTGCTGCTGGAGCTAATACGTTTTACTGATTTGATGTCTGAATGTAACAGCAGCAGCACAAAACTCGGGATTCTCAGAACAGTTTCAACCTCGGAGCAAACCAAAAACTAAATCACAGAAGAATGGGAAATGGGTGTGTCAAATTTAATAACAAAAGGGTCACCAGGTGGCCACATCCTCTCCTTGTCATTCACATCCTCCACCCCTCAAATCCTTTCTACCCTCATAAATTTGAGTACAGTCAAGGTGGGTTGTACAAAGAGGTCAAAAGCAGCCCTTGGGAAACATTCTCTCTCAAATGTGGATTATGATTCAAAAAGAGATACAAAACTCAGCACCTCTTTCATTAAAAAAAATGGAGAAACTTGGTAAAAAAAAAAAAAAAAAACACTAAGATATTCTCATAGCTGCCTGGGTAGTAGATCTTAATCGTTTCATGTAGACAGAGGCCTTCATATCCACAGGAAGCCATTTGGACTAAAACCAAACTGAGTCCATTACTCATTTCCTCTCCGGCTCTTCTTGTGGCTTTTCTTAGATCTGAAACGGCAAAACATACAAATCATTAAATTTAACAGCTGTTCAAGGAGCTGGGCCAGAACTTTTGAGGAAGACTGGGGTATGCTGACACCAGTGTGGATGGAGATGATACCCAATATTCATTAAACGTGCTTGGTATTTTTATGTTTCAGAGCAATACTCTGAATCAGGCGTTACTATCCAAAATTTACCATTGGGGAAATGACCTCTGAGAGGTGGAGAGTGCACCTGACAGTGTATAGCATATAGAGGTTTCTAATGAAAGCTTATCAAACAAAAGTGACTTGTCCAATGTCATTCAACTGTTAAGTATTAAAAGTTGGGACTCAACCCCAGGTCTCCTGAGACCAAAGCTCATGCCCTTACCACTATCCAAAGCTGCAATCCTACAAGGAAAAACGACACAAAATGGATCAGTAATTCTAATAATTCTCAGGGCAGTAGGCCGATTTTGTCCTGTAATGAAGGAGAATTCCTAAATATTTGTATCAAAACAAGACTATTTCAGGTCCAATTTAATTGTGATTGGGACTTTAATTTCTGAATAAAGAGTGAAACTGTTAAGTCAAAATAGAGGTCAATCCATACCTTTCAGGAGACTTTGAGTGGCTCCTGTGTCTGTGACTACGGTGATGACCTGGTGGAAAAAGCACAATTCGATGAGTGAGACTCTACCCTCCTACTCCTCCACTGTCACTTTCACTTCACCCAGTCCCTTCTACTGGCTTAATAATTTTTTGGCCTATGCTAAGCACACCTCTCATTGGTGACAGCACCTCTCTGAACTGGTGTGGATGCGTGGATGTGGGTGTGCATGCTGAGGAGAGGAGAACTTCACATGCATCCAGGGCTTTATGGCTCATTTCACAAACATCACACTGGGTAATTTACCAGTATTTTGTTACGTCTTATTCCTGTAAGTTCAGATGAAAAAACTGAAGCTCGTCATCTTATCAGCAAAGCTTGTGAGAGTCAAGATGTGAACTCTAATTTTCAAATTTTAAGTCCATTTCCTTTTTTTCTAGGCAATAAAACAGTCAGGCACTCCCGTACTGCAGGAGGCTAATTGCTTCTATTACATGTTTTTAAGACAACCAATAGCAAAAGGCCCAAATACTGTACCTGGGGACTTGGAGCGAGATCTGTGCCGTCTATCTCGGGACCTGCTGCGGTGACGTCTTGGACTCTTGCTCCGATGCCTTTCTCGGCGAGGGGAGGGGCTGTGGAAATAAGTGGTCAGACTCCCATATCTGTCTGACAGTATACTCACAACAGCAACCCTCTCCTCAAATCCCTGTCCTTTATCACAAATCACTGAAGGCTTACCTCCTCCTCTTGGGAGACCGACTCCGTCTATATGGAAAGAAGAGAGAAGAGCCTTAGTAAGTGCACTAGATGTTGCAGATTGCAAAAACGACCCCAATTCTTCACCCATCTCTGTTATCCACGTCCTTTATCATGTAACTTTTTAGTACCCTCCCAATCCAAGTTGGATTGGCCATGTGACTTTCTTTGGCCATTGGGATATTTGCAGATGTGATACAAGCAGATACTGGAGAAATAATTGCATTGGGCTTGTTTGCTCTTGGATTCTGCCATTTCCATGAGAACATGCCTAACCTAGCCTAGAATGAGACACATAGAGAAGGGATGAGTTGCTCCAGTCATCCTAGCTAAGGCCACCCTATACTAGCCAACAGACAGCTGACTGTAAAACAGGTGAGTGAACCTAACTTATATTAAAAAAACTGCCTATCCTACCCCAGCTTAAATCACTAACCACAGACTTGTGAACTAAACGTTGTTGCCTGCTACTGAGGTTTTGTGGGTGGTTGTTTTGCAGCAACTAATAGATTGGGCAAGCAAACATTCTCCATAGGCTGGCATTTTTCCTTCCCTGAAGTCCAGACTTCTGTGTTACAGTGCTAAAGTCTCTGGAAGAGGCCAAGGCCTGACCTTCTGGGAGACCGGCTCCTACTCCTCCTGTAGCGTAATGTGGGAGAGCGACGGGGCTTGTCCAAGTCTCGGTAGCTTCTCCGGCGATGATCAGGTGATGGCACTCTCTCCAACTGTAAATGAGATGGATGGGTCACTGATGAGCTCAGGCTATATTGCAGAGAGCCATCTAGGAACACTGCTTACAGTCTCCCCATCCTGTCCCAAATTCCACCTCCAAGTGACTTTATTTAAAAAACAGTAATTTGAATATATAGAGGGATAACCCTAAGAATGGAAAAAAATTATCCAAGAATTAAACTGTTTCTAATAATCTCATTATTGTTCTAGTGTTGGTACCATTATTCTGAGATTGAGAGAGGAGAGAGAGACAAGCAAGTAAATATGCCTACCTCCTTAAGAAGTTGGATTTCCAATGTGAAAGAGATACAGATGTAAGATCGATAAGGTTAAACTACAAAGTCATAGAGTAGTTTAATCTTACAGAAAATTTTCCCCTAGCTCTGCCAACTGTAAAGGCCTAGAAACACCAAACGCCACAGCAATGAGCTCTTCAGGGGCAGAAGCTAACAAGACATAACTAGAATATAACTCCTATCAGAAAGCAAGGAGGCTGAGACTACTATAAGTGTTATCACAAAGTCTTTCAACTCAAGTCGAGGGGTCCCTATTGGCCAAAGATGGGACAATCTGAGAATCAACAAGGATAATAATGGTTTGAAACACATCAAATATGCTTAAATCCATGAGTTCACAATGTTACCAAGGACAAAAGAGTATTCATCAACTTGGGAAGATCTATGGAATCAACTCATATTTTAAAAATTGATAACAAATGGAAATAAATATCTTGCCTTTCCTATATAAACTGTACCTATAAAACACTAAATATTGATTTAGATTTCTCTTTAGCAGTGTTACAGGTGAGAAATGATGAAGAAATAATTAGAATATCACCATTTTACAACCTCTAATGGATCTAGACAGAGATCATCAGTGGCTCCTAATATTACAAAAAGAGAGCCAGACTTTGCTCATCCTGGGGGGAAGTACACACTACTACCTATGAAGTAGTGTTGCTCCACTCCAAAGGGGATAAAAACCCCAAATCTAATTAAGCCTTGAGATCTAAGAAGTAGTTTACAGGAAATACAAGGGACAAATGAACATGTTAAGAGAGACCACAGGGACACAATCAGAAAAACAGATTGTGAAAATCTGTATAGAATAATATAACCTGATATATTTAAAAATAGAGAAAAAAGAATGATGGAGGGAACTGACAGATTACAGATACTTAAGAGACAAAAAAGCCAATTAGAGTTTATGGACCTTATTTGAATACTAATTTGAAATAATAATATAGGACAATTGAGGAAATGTGAACACTGAATATTTGATGATATTAAGGAATTATTTTTGGGGAGGTGATGATGGTATCATGGTTATATTTAAAAACAGAGCCTTTATCTTTCCTGAAATATTATGGATGAAATATATGATGGCCATGATCTGCTTCCAGATAATTGGTGGGGAGCAACTGGGTAGAGATGTAGAGGAAACAAAATGGCTATGAGCTGATCATTGTTGAAGCTAGGTGATGAGTAAATGGAGGCACACTCTCTCCACTTTGGTATGTGATTGAAATTTTCCATTTAAAAAAAAGAATGCCTACTTTTGGTTCACTCACCACATTAGAGTGCTTCAGTCTTGCACGGCTTTCAATTCATGAATGACTGTGCTTCTTTATACACCCCCTAGAGGGAGTTTGCTTGACTCAGAGCTACACTTCCATTTGCATAGTATCCATAAGCCAGCATTTCTTGTATTCCCCCAACCTTTTTCTATACATAGTTACTTATTGTTTTAATCACAAATATTTTAGATCCTTCTTTTTTAACTCACCTTAAGCATTTCCACACGATCAGCTACTTTTCTTAACAGTTTTAATGGCTGCCTACTAGTCTGTTGAGGTGATATAAGAGTTTACCTGACTGCTCCAACTCTTGGCTGTTTTCAATTTTTCAGCATTATAACTAATAGTGAAAGAACATGACCATGCAGTAGGCATTTTTTTTTTTTTAAACTAGGCTTACTTTGTCAGATAGGTTCAATTATGAACTGTAGTATTTTTGTCCCAAGTATTTACTTTAACAAATGTATGCTAAGGGCTTTATGTATGTATATCGTCTCATTTAATACTTAGAACAGTCCTAAGAGAAAGATATCATTATCCTTGCTTTACAGAGGAGAAAACTTAGATGATGTAATTTCACAAAATTATACCACTAGTATATAGCAGAGCTGAGGTAGTAATCAAGGTCTATTTAACTCTAAAACCCATACTCTTAATGACTAAATACTGGGTTTTTTTGTTTGTTTTTGCTGAGGAAGATTCACCCTGAGCTAACATCTGTGCCAATCTTCCTCTGTTGTATCTGGGTCGCCACCACAGCATGGCCGCAAACAAGTGGTGGTAGGTCTGAGTCTGGGAACTGAACCTGGACCACCAAAGTTGAGTGCACTGAATTTAACCACTGGCCACAGGGCCAGCCGCGCTAAATATTGTATTTTTTGGTTAAAGAAAATTAAAAAAGACCATTCTCAACCCCTATAACTAGACCCCCTCCAACCTTTAAGTTCCCAGGTACCTGACCTTCTCATCCTCCTCTTCCTCCTCTTCACTGGACTCCACGTCATCCATGTCCTCTTCTAGAGCGCTAACTCGAGGCTCCAGCTGCTCAGCTTCCTCTAGCACATAGCGTTTCTACAGAGAACATAGTGAGAGGTAGGGAGCCTTGCTATCTCCTCTATGTCCTGAAGTCCCAACACTGGGCTTCTGGGATTGACAGAAAAACTGTGGAGCAACAGCTGAGGCAATTTCATTTCAAAGACATCCTAGACACCTTAAGATTTTCCTGAGGCGTTTAACATACTGGAATCTGTGTACTCTTTAAAGTTCCCTTGTAAACAGATACATACAAAGCTGAAGAGAACATCTTCATTTTCTACTGGCTCTGTTCCCTGTGATCTTATACTCTAAGGTCACTGAAATATCAACTAGTATAGGTGTAGCCTTTAATAAAAAAATGTAGGCGTCATATACAAGGGCCAATAAATATGTAGCTGAGACTGTGTTGGCTGGTATTTCTGCCAGAAGAGGCTCAGACCAGTCTACCCCAGGAGTGCCTTGGGTCCTGCTCCAGAGTAGCACCAACTCTCTACTAAACCCAGGATTTAGGGAGCTGTCTAGAGTCATGCATTTTGAAATCAGGCACAGGATATAAACAAACAATCCATCTCCTTGTTCCATTTTCTTTTGAGATGTGGCTTAGCAGTGCTTATCAAGTGACTAAGCATGTGAAAAGCAAAGGTGAGTTCAAAACTGCCAAATGGACTGGCTGGGTCATAAGACTCCTTACCATCTTCTTGTGTCAAGGACACAATGTTGGATAGCCCTAGAATAAACAGTAACATTTGTACGCTACTTAGCTCTCACTCTTCTGTAACAAAATTCTATGAACACTGGGAGAAATGAGACAAAGCTACCACTCAATGAAGTCAATCCTTTAGAGAAGGGCTTCTCAGAAAAAGGCTCTCCAGCCACAGGATCACCACAGTTTGGGATCTAGGACTGCATCAGACAGGGAGTCCAGAATCCCTAATGCGCACTAGAATAGGAAGTGTCTAATGTCAATAATTAATTCATAGTATTTGTGCTTGATGAAATTAGAATTCATTCCAGAGCAGCTCCTTGTCAATGTCGGGGCACATCAGAAGCTAAACTGATAACCATGGGTTGTTTAATAAGAAAAGAATCAGAGCAAAATGTTGTCTTAAGGGTAACTAGGACATATAGAAGGCCACACCAAAACACACTGTTGGTCATAACGATAACATGTGTCAGTCAGATTTCAATTTGTCTCTCCTCAGTGAGGCTTGTTTTGTGGTCTTTCCTTCTAGACTCCATGCAGACCAACCTCATTTACATCAGTAGGCTTGCTTAGAGGTGACTGGGCTTTGGAACCCTTAGCGAAAACCTCATTGCATTTCAAAGTATGCCATTTCTTGCAGTATTCTAAAAATAGCAGCTAAGGATAATATAATAATAATAGCTAATGTAATCCACAATGGGTTAGTGTGAGAAATGGGCCCTGAAAGCAGGTTTTCAGACTTGAAATCTCATTCTCTTCACTACAGTCTACAGTAGCTAATATAGAACAGGAGAGAGAGACCACACTCATTTTCAGGATTTTTATTTTATTGGATTTCCTGTAATTGAGTCACTGTGGACGAAGAGTTAGTTCATTGCATGTAGTTTACTAGTTCATTACCAGCTAGTTTACTGCCTTGAGCAAATTTATCTCACCCATTTACCAGATATCTGCAATCTATTCTATTCCCTACTTTGAAGTTTTTCAGATCCGTCTGCTGTTTTTTATCGAGGTGAAATTCACATAACAATTAACCATTTTAAAGTGTACAATTCAGTGGCCTTTAGTGTATTTGCAATGCTATACAACCACATCTCACTAGTTTAAAACCTTTTCCATCATACCAGAAAAACACCCCATACCTATTAAGTAATCACTCCTCATTTTTCCCTCTCTACACCTCAGGGACTAACCACTAATCTGCTTTCTATCACTATGGATTTTCCTAGTCAGGATATATTATATAAAAATCACACACTGTGTGACCTTTGATCTTTAAATTATCCCTTTTGGTTTATATCTAGCAAGGAACCAAGCACCTCAGACCAGGTGGTATACAGCAAACTGCTTCAGAATTATTGAGCTGCAGTACCATCACAAAGGAAACCTGAAGTAGTGGATCCTCCCAGTTGGGGTTTCTGTGGTGGTTAAAACATGTAAGAATCTGCTCCCACCCCCCATCTACATCACTGTCTCTGGGACCCACCAATTCTTACATAGACATACAGAATCAGAGAACAGTAGAGCACTAAGAGCCAGAGGCCCTTAGTCTACATCTATCCCAGTGATTTTTGCAACACTTTTTATAGTCTCATTGAGGTAGAGTTGACATATAATAAACCATACATTTTTAAAGTATACAATTTGATGAGTGTTGACATGTATTATATACAACTGTAAAACCATTACATCTAGATAATGAATATATCCACCCTGCCTGAAAGTTCACTTGTGGTCCTTTGTCATCTCTCCTTCCCTCTCCTCCCCATTCCCTCCCTCTGCATGCAGGCAACCAATGATTTTTTTGTCACTAGTTTTCATTTATTAAAATTTTATATGAAGGGAATTGTGCAGTACATAGTTTTTTGTCTTTTTTTACCCACCACAATTATTCTGTGATGCACCCATACTGCTGTGTATCAACAGTTCATTTTTACTGCTGAGTAGTACCATTGTATGAACATACCACAATTTGCTTATCCATTCACTTGATGAACATCTGGACTTTTTTGTCATTTCTGGCCATTACAAATAAAGCTTTTATGATTATTTGTGCATAAGTCTTTGTACTTTCATTTTTCAAGTAAATACCTACGAGTGGAATGGCCAGGTTTATGGTTACTTTCTAAGAAACTGCCAAATTTTTCCAAAGCACTTGTACTATTTTATATTGTTACCATTGGTGTATGGAGACTTGCAGTTCTTCTGCACCCTTGCCAACACTTGGGATGGTCGGTCTTCCTGATTTTAGACCTTCTCATAGGTATAGAGTGTACATTACTATGATTTTAATTTGCATTTCCCTGACGACTGATGGCATTGAGCATCTTTTTATGTGCTACTGATCAACTGTATATTTTCTCTGGTAAAATGCCTGTTAGAATTCTTTTGTTCATTTTCCCATTGGGTTGTCGTCTTGTTATTAAGCTCAAGAGTTTTTTATATATTCTAGATTCAAGACTTTTGTTGGATATATAGTCTTCCAGTCTATGGCTTGCCTTTTTACTTTGTAATAAGTGTCTTTTGAAAAGCAAGTTTCTTTTTATAAAGGCTTATTTTTATTAAATAATTCAGGCTTTTTATGTCCTATATAGAAATTTTTGTCAAACTCAAGGTCACTAAGATTTACTCCTGTGTTTTCTTTTAGAAGTTTTATAATCTTAGCTTTTATAACTAAGTCTATTATCCCCTTCAAGTTAATTTTTATATATCATGTGAGCTAAGGATGGAGATTCATTTGTTTCCATAAGGCTATTCAAGTGTTCCAGTACTATTTGTGAAAAAGATTATCATTTCTCACTAGTAATGCCCTGATATCTCTGTAGAAAACCAAGTGACCATATATATGTACATTTACTTCTGGTCCCTTTATTTTGTTCCATTGATCCATTTGTCTACTTTTATGCCAATACAACACTGTCTTGGTTACTAGAGCCAAGTCTTGGAAACAGGTAGTGTTTGTTCTCCTACTTTGTTCTATTTCAAAGTTGTTTTGGATATGCTAGATCTTTTGCTCTTTCACATAAATTTTAGAATCACCCTGTCAAGTTCTACCAAAGTCTACTGGGATTTTGGTTGAACCTGAATTGAAACTTAGCTTAAGTTGGGAGAATTGACAACAATTCTAAGTCTTGGTATGAGATAGACTATGGATGTGGTATATCTTTCCATTTAGTTGTCTTTTTAATTTCTCTCAGTAATGCAATGTTTTGTCATTTTAAGTGTGAGTCTTGCACGTCTTTTGACAAAATCATCCTTATATTTTTGATGCTGTTGTAAACAGTATCTTTTGAATAAAATTTCAAATTCCATTTGTTCATTGCTAGTGTATATAAATACAACTGACTTTTGTAGACTGACCTTGTATCCCACAATTCTGCATAAACACATAAATGGGTAAACAAGTTGTGGTATATCCATACAATGGAATATTACTCAGCAATGAAATGAAACTATTGATACATGTAACAACATGCATGAATTTCAAAATAATTATGCTGAGTGAAGACAGACAAAAAAGAGCATGTACTGTATTAATTCCAAAATGCAAACTAATCTATTGTGATAGATAGCACATCCATTGTTCCTTAGGGGTGAGGGAGAGAGGTGGGAGGGAGGGATTACACAAAAGGAAAGGAGGAAACTTCCTGGGGTGAGGAGTTATATTCACTTTTTTTTTTAAGATTGGTACCTGAGCTAATATCTGTTGCCAATCTTCTTTTTTTTCCTCCTTCTTCTCCCCAAAGCCCCCCAGTACATAGTTTTATATTCTAGTTGTAGGTCCTTCTGGCTCTGCTATGTAGGACGCCACCTCAGCATGGCTTGATGAGTGGTGCTAGGTCTGCACCCAGGATCCAAACCAGCAAAATCCAGGGCTGCCAAAGTGGAGTGCGCAAACTTAAACACTTCAGCCATGGAGCTGGCCCCTTATGTTCACTATTTTTGATTGTGATGATAGATTCAAAGGTGTATACATATGTCAAAACTTACCAAATACTTTAAATATACATAGTTTACTGTATGTCAATTATACCTTAATAAAGCCATTTAAAAGAAAAAAAGCCTTTGTTCAAATGAAATCTCATTCTCAAACCCAATATAGA